ATACTCTGCGGCAGTATGGCAGATTTCTGATCCAAGCTGGTAACCCCAAAATGGAACGATCAAGTCGTCAATTTGGGCATGCCATCGGTACGGGTCGAGCACAATGCGTAAGTCTCGCATGGAAGCAAATCCCAGTAGGTCACCAGGGAAAGTAATCTGGTCGACAACAAGAAAAGCAGCAGTAAAGTCTCTGCCTTGGATAGTAAAGGTGAGCGAAGTCTGACCTCGGACTCGCAGAAGGGAACCAGCTACTCCGCTAAGGGAGGTTACAGTAGTTGGTTCAACGAGGAGGACACGTCGTAACTGCTTCTCTTTAAACAAGCTAGACCTGATGATATTAACTTGCGCACCAGAGTCCATGAACACATGAACGGGCGTATTATGGACAGAAGCTTGTACTAAAGGACCAACCGTTTCGTTAGGAGTTATATGCAAACAGAAAGGTGGGTTGTCATCGGAGAAGGCATTTTCTACTTCATCCCCAAATTCCTCTACGTCAGAGACGTGTGAAGCAACATCAACAGCGAGGTTGTCATTCTCAAGGCTGGCTAAGGCTTCATAGGAATTTTGGACTGGGATGGTGTACTCGTTATCACCTACTACTGGTGGTGGCCCGGTGGCCTGGTGGCTAAAGCTCCCGCTTCACACACGGAGGGCCCGGGTTCGATTCCCGGCGGATGGAAACATTTCGACACGTTTCCTTACACCTATTGTCCTGTTCACCTAGCAGCAAATAGGTACCTGGGTGTTAGTCGACTGGTGTGGGTCGCATCCTGGGGGACAAGATTAAGGACCCCAATGGAAATAAGTTAGACAGTCCTCGATGACGCACTGACTTATTTGGGTTATCCTGGGTGGCTAACCCTCCGGGGTTAAAAATCCGAACGAAATCTTATCTTATCTTATCTTACGACTGGACGAGTAGACTTGGGCGCTCGGATTCCCCCGAATTGGAAGAATGAGCCTGGTTCTGGTTAGTTTGAGAACCACGACGTCTGTTTCCTCTCCTGGCTCTGGGGTTGGAACGGCCACGGAAAGATCTAGAGTACTGCAGGTTGTAGAGAGCATTGCACTCAGATGTGTCATGTCCATGAATTCTATGATAAGTACAGTAGGGAAGATCTGACTGGTACTCATCATCAGTACGACGCTTCTTAGGATGAATATCAGGACAATTAATAGCAATATGGCCACGGTAACCACAATTGTAGCAAGTTCTTTGACTGTGGGTACTGTACATACTACGGGTGCTACGGGAATGATGGCTCTTAACACTAGCTTTGGATGATGGACGCGAGTGATTAATTAAGGTTGGGAGTTTTGGTAGTAGCACAAACTAGAGGAGGTACAGGAGTGGACAAAGTGGTTGGTGTAGACTTACAATAAGGGAAGGTTCCCTCCTCCAGTGTCATCAGGTCGATTTCCCTTAACCTCTCCTCGTAGGACATGTCCCTTAACTCTGGGACTAGTCTCGTTGCATACCTTTGCACTTTCTCTAATTTCTTGACGAGCTTGGCCAATTGTAGGTTTCAAACTGGTGCTGCATATTCCAATATGGGCCTGATGTACACTGTGTATAGAGTCCTGAACGACTCTTTACTGAGATGTTGGAATGCTATTAGGTTTCCTAGTCGCCCGTATGCCGCAGCAGTTATTTGGTTGATGAGTGCCTCAGATATGTTCGGTGATATACTCACCCCAAGATCCTTTTCCTTGAGTGAGGTTTGTAGTTTTTGGCCCCTTAGACAGCTGGTGTGTGTGTGTGTGTGTGTGTGTGTGTGTGTGTGTGTGTGTGTGTGTGTGTGTGTGTGTGTGTGTGTGTGTGTGTGTGTGTGTGTGTGTGTGTGTGTACTCACCTATTTGTACTCACCTATTTGTGGTTGCAGGGGTCGAGTCCTAGCTCCTGGCCCCGCCTCTTCACCGGTTGCTACTAGGCCCTCTCTCTCCCCGCTCCATGAGCTTTATCAAACCTCGTCTTAAAACTGTGGATGGTTCCTGCCTCCATACGTCATTTCTAGGCTATTCCACTGCCTTACAACTCTATGACTGAAGAAATACTTCCTACTATCTCTCTGACTCATTTGTGTCTTCAAACTTCCAATTGTGGCCTCTTGTTTCTGTGTCCCCTCCTGGAACATCCTGTCCTTGTCCACTTGTCTATTCCACGCAGTATTTTATATGTCGTTATCATGTCTCCCCTGACCCTCCTGTCCTCCAGTGTCGTCAGGCCGATTTACCTTAATCTTTCTTCATAGGACATTCCCCTTAGCTCTGGAACTAACCTTGTTGCAAACCTTTGTACTTTCTCTAGTTTTTGACGTGCTTTATCAAGTGCGGGTTCCAAAACAGGTGCTGCATACTCCAGTATGGGCCTGACATACACGGTGTACAGTGTCTTGAATGATTCCTTACTAAGGTATCGGAATGCTGTTCTCAGGTTTGCCAGGCGCCATTATGCTGCAGCAGTTATCTGATTGATGTGTGCTTCCGGACACATGCTCGGTGTTATACTCACCCCAAGATCTTTCTCCTTGAGTGAGGTTTGCAGTCTTTGGCCACCTAGCCTTACTCTGTCTGTGGTCTTCTGTGCCCTCCCCTATCTTCATGACTTTGCATTTGGCAGGATTAAATTCGAGAAGCCATTTGCTGGACCAGTGTCCAGTCTGTCCAGGTCTCTTTGAAGTCCTGCCTGGTCCTGTGGTGTGTGTGTGTGTGGTGTGTGTGTGTGTGTGTGTGTGGTGTTGGTGTGTGTGGTGTGGTGTGTGTGTGGTAAGTGGTTGGTGTGTGTGTTTGTAGGTGAGGTTGCTGCATAGAATGTTAGTTGATTCCCATTTGGTGCAGTGTCGAGTCATCGCTTCTCCCTGCCTTCCTGTTGCTACTTGTCTCACTTCCTCTAATGACTTGACGAACTGCATTGATGGTTCACTTGCTGCTATTCACTTCTGACAATCTATGACTGAAGAATATAACATCCTGAACTCATGTTTACAATGGTAATTAGTTAGTGTATCCTAGGTCCCTTCGTAGTGCCACGTTAATTCGTGTGAGTGTCCTCAAGGTTCTGATTAGTGTACCACAAGACATTCTGTGTTCGACTAGGTTTTCGTGTGTTTGGCCCCTAACACGATTGGGTGTAGTGTATGAAGGGATAATTCAGTGTGTGGTGTACCTCAAGGTTTTCGTGTGTTGTGTTTGTTGTGATGGTTACATTCTATTGGTATCAAGATCCATTCTGTAGGTATCAAGGGAGTCCGCTCCTGCCCCGCCTCACGTGTACTAGCCACTCTCTGTCACGCTCCAAGGTTTACACCTGTTGTAACCACATGGTGATTCGGTGTAGCGTACCACAAGTACATTTCAGTGCTATTACCAAGTTACATCTTGACTGACCAAAGGTTCTTCTTATGTTGATCACAGGTCTTCATGTCCAGTGATGCCTGTATTACTTCATCTCTGGTAACACAGTACATTCCAGTGTAGTTATCCACGGTTAATTATGTAGTCGTTATCATCAAGTTGATCAGTCTGTTCCAGGTCATTCAGCGATTTACCACAGATACTTCAGGCATTTTCCCAGGTCAATTACCTTGTTGCAACCAAGTACTTTCAGTTTGTTGAGTGCTTATCAAGTGCGGGTTCAACAGGTGTGCAACCAGTATGGTGACATACAGGTTACATTCTTAATGTACCACAAGGTAATTCGAATGTGTGTATCAGGATCTTGCAGTGTATCACAAGGATACTTCAGTGAGTTATCAGTTAATGTGTGCTTCCGGATACATTCAGTGTAGTGTATCACCAAGTCTTTCCATTGAGTGTAGGTTTCAGTCTTGTGTATCACAAGCTTATTCAGTGGTCTTGTGTGCCAAGCTACATTCAGACTTTGCATTTGAAAGGTTAAATCAGTGCATTTGATCCAGGATACATCCAGTTGTAGTCACAAGTTGACTTCCGTGTAGTGTAGTCAGGATAGTTGCATGTGTGTGTGAAGGTGTAATGTTCGTTGTGTGTGTCACAATGGTTATTTCAGTGTGTGTTGTGGTTACTTGTTGTTGGTGTATGACATGGATAGTGCGTGGTGTGTGTTCAGCATGGTTATGAGTGTGTGTGTATCACAGATATTGATTCAGTGTAGTGTATCAAGGATGTCGAGTCATGCTTAGTGTGCTCAACTTACATTGGTACTGTATCTCGATACACAGTCCTAGTGTATCAAACCATGTAGCGTTCACAAGTACATTCGTGATGTCACAAGGTTCAGGTATTCATTCCTACAAGTAATGAAGATGTATCAACATCCTCTGACTCATGGTTTACACAAGGATTACATTCAGTGTGTAGTGTATCACAAGGTACATTCAGTGTAGTGATCACAGGATACATTCAGTGGTTATCACAAGGTACATTCAGTGTAGTGTATCACAAGGATACATTCAGTGTAGTGTATACAAGGTTACATTCAGTGTAGTGATCACAAGGATACATTCAGTGTAGTGTATCACAAGGATACATTCAGTGTAGTGTATCACAAGGATACATTCAGTGTAGTGTATCACAAGGATACATTCAGTGTAGTGTATCACAAGGATACATTCAGTGTAGTGTATCACAAGGTTACATCAGTGTAGTGTAGGATCACAAGGATAATTAGTTAAGGATACACAGTGAGTCACATTCATTCGTGTGTGTATCACAAGGTTACATTCAGTGTAGTGTATCACAAGGATACATTCAGTGTAGTGTATCACAAGGTTACATTCAGTGTAGTGTATCACAAGGATACATTCAGTGTAGTGTATCACAAGGAAATTGTGGTATGGACCATTGTGTACACTACACTGTGACCACTTGTTTCTGTGTCCCAGTCGAAAGTGTGGGTGTGTGAGTGGGGTGAGTGAGTGTGTGTGTGGAGTAGAAAAGTAGTGCAAAGTAATTTTAGTGCCAAGACATGCCATGGCACCCTCTCCATCACACTGACCTACCATAACCAACCCACTCTAGATGCGGTGTGCCAGGGCTGGGGACAACGCTGGGGTGGACGTGGCACTACAACGGGGTGCCAGGGTAGACCTATTAGATAAAGACTCATCTGGAGGAAATGGAGGTGGGAGGGCAGCCCTCCACCACGCCGCCGCCGCCGGCCACCTCGATGTTGTCAACCTCCTCCTCGACTTCAAGGCTAATGTCAACATCAGGAGCAAGATGGCGGGCGATCATGGTGGGTACTTTCTTCATTCCTTATGTATAGTACTCACTTATATCTTTTTTTCTTGCATCTGAATCCTAGTTAACAAAATGTTGGGATCCAGTCCTTGGTTTTATTGTGTACCTCTCTGATATTTTGACTGATGTATAAGATACATGAACAATGTGAAAATCTTTCGACTACTGCCCATAAGATATATAATGGTGTATTTAAAAGGTGTAAAACTAAATGATGCTAAAATAAAGGAGGAAAAGGGGACGATGAGGAGTGAAAGAAAGGTGCAAAGAATTAGGTTGATGTCACATTGCGCCTCACTGCCTGGAAACTTCCACAGTGACTCTCCAGCAGTACATCAACAGTCATTACACCAGGGCCATCAATAGTTCACTGGCTCTACACGTATGCCTCACTTGTCTCCTACTGACACTAATGGCTCTTCACAGCATATGTATGAAAAAAATAAAATATAGATCAATGGTATGGTGTCGTCGCCTTAAAAAATGAACAAGCTGGAAGAAATCCCAAAATGAAATCCCAATTGACTCCAAGAGGTAAACCACACTTGCTACACCTGTAGTCACACAGTGACACCAACACTAGTGTCCTCAACGAACACCGTTTTGTCACCACACAAGAGATGTATCTCCCTGTAACCCAGCTGTCTGTATGCTCCACCTGTGAAAACTTAGATTTTGAGTAAGTCAAGAGAAAAACAGTTTTCCTTGAAACAAAGACCATCTTAGCTGGCTGCTAGATAAGATTTCGTTCGGCTTTTTAACCCCGGAGGGTTAAAAAGCCGATTGAGGACCCATTAGGGTCCTCAATCTTGTCCCCCAGGATGCGACCCGCACCAGTCGACTAACACCCAAAGGTACCTATTTGCTGCTAGGTGAACAGGACAACAGGTGTAAGGAAACGCGTCGAAATGTTTTCACCCTACCGGGAATCGAACCCGGGCCCTCCGCTTGTGTGTTTGTATGCTGCACAAGCTACATTAGAATCTACTTTAAGCAGATGTAAAGTTTCTTTCATTAAAGTTGTCAGGGATATTGGTTCCATTGAGGCCCTGTGTTGCAGGGGCGGCGGCGTTGCATCTGGTAGCTGTCAACGGTTACCTGGAAGTAGTCAAGTTGCTGGTCCATGCCCAGGGTCACCTCGATGTTAGAACCACTCAAGGTCCTCTTGATTTCTATAGTCGTATTACTGTCTGAGATTAATTTAACTGTTTATTACTTACTAATTCAAGCAAAAATGATTAATTAGGTAGAAGCCTAGCAAAAGGCATACTAAAATAAAATTACAAAGCGAAAATTGAAGGACATATATACTATAAAGAGAAATACAGAAGACAGTGTAAGAGTTGTGGTAAAGCCTTATAACACACAACACATCAGGAGTGTTTATCTCTCAGTGTGTATGCTGAGACTTGATTTCTGTTTAAGGAATTAAAGTTTCCTTGACTGGTAGTGTTTAAGGAAACCATACCACGAGAGGGGATAGAACCCGCGATCAGAGACTAATACAACTCCAGATCGACTCTCGTGGTATGGTTTGTTTGCAATCGTGTCAGTACGATTTCGTTAGTCATAGTGTTTAAGGAGTCTACGACCTTAACGACCCTCGTGTATTCGATAGGCTGATACACCAACAAACCAAAACATGCAGGAACTCTGAGGAGGAAAGTGTTATTTCACAGAGACACTGTGATACAGTGTACTAACCAAGGCGTTCACTTCCTCAGGCTGGGCAGACAATGTGGGTTCCTTCACTCATTTCAAGGTGAATGAGCTCAAGCTGAGAATCGGTGAATGTATAATTTAAAGCCTAAAATAGTGTGTTAAGAAATAAAGCTGCGTAGATGCAGATGGAGCATGAAATACGAGATAAAGAAGTACAGGCGAGGGTTTTATCATTGGCAGGTGCAACGCCCCTCCACCTGTCAGCGGCAGGCGGCCACATCGAAGTGTTAGAACATCTGCTCAGAGCACATGCAGATATTGAGGCAGCCGACGACAAAGGTAAGATCAAGATCACATTAACCAATGTTGTAAGTGACAGATCATGAGGAGGTATATGAGGTGTCGCTAGAAGAATGTCTGATGAAGTGGGGGTGATATGTGGGATAAGAATGAAAGAGAAAAAATAAACATTTGGACATGAAGTAAAAGTCTGAAAACTGGTTTGAACTGGGGACTTTCTATTGCTACCACTGTGCTGTTGTGGTATATTGCAATGGTTCGTTCATTGGTGGAGAAAATGTATTTGAGTAAATTTTAGTTGGAAAATAGTCCTAGCTGAAGTGTGATAAGACATGCGCGTAACATGTGACTCGTGGTAGTGCAGTGAATTGGACTGGATGGAAGTAATCAGTTAAGAAGGAATTAATGAATGATTTCATTTTGTGGCAAGTCGAGTTTGTTACGGCTGACAATACTCTGTGACACAGCCAAGAATGCTATTGATGTTTCGCTGGTGCAGTGACACTAGTTTCCCGTCATGCTAACATGTCTAGCAATTAATATGACAGGAGTTACACTAATTAAATTCAACATTGCTCTACTTATGTTTTTCACATTTTTATCATAGTTTATTAACTCTTGTGTGTGCATTATTCTGAATACTGTTAGCTCACTATCTTGCAGTTTTGTACCCATTCTGAGAGTAGGGTAGTAAAATACAGGATGCCTCGCTTTACAGCAGGTGGCCTGGTGGCCTGGTGGCTAAAGCTCCCGCTTCACACACGGAGAGCCCGGGTTCGATTCCCGGCGGGTGGAAACATTTCGACACGTTTCCTTACACCTGTTGTCCTGTTCACCTAGCAGCAAATAGGTACCTGGGTGTTAGTCGACTGGTGTGGGTCGCATCCTGGGGGACAAGATTAAGGACCCCAATGGAAATAAGTCAGACAGTCCTCAATGACGCACTGACTTTCTTGGGTTATCCTGGGTGGCTAACCCTCCGGGGTTAAAAATCCGAACGAAATCTTATCTTATCTTTCGCTAATGCAGCAGTTTTCAATTATACCCATTCTTTATTCAGACTTCTCACAATAAATATATTCACAATATATTCACCACTTACAATAAGCTAAGGACGAAAATATTTTAAGTAATGTGTGTGTGTACTGTATATGCATTTTTTAGGCCTAGCTCTATTGGTCACCTAATACATGATAGTGTAAATATGTTATCAGGCTTTTATATGTATTTCAAATAAAAAAATGGTATGTTTCACTTTACAGCAGTAGCCCAGAACCTAACCTGCTGTATAAGTGGAGCCCTACAGTAGCCCAGAACCTAACCTGCTGTATAAGTGGAGCCCTACAGTAGCCCAGAACCTAACCTGCTGTATAAGTGGAGCCCTACAGTAGCCCAGAACCTAACCTGCTGTATAAGTGGGGCCCTACAGTAGCCCAGAACCTAACCTGCTGTATAAGTGGAGCCCTACAGTAGCCCAGAACCTAACCTGCTGTATAAGTGGAGCCCTACAGTAGCCCAGAACCTAACCTGCTGTATAAGTGGGGCCCTACAGTAGCCCAGAACCTAACCTGCTGTATAAGTGGGCCCTACAGTAGCCCAGAACCTAACCTGCTGTATAAGTGGAGCCCTACAGTAGCCCAGAACCTAACCTGCTGTATAAGTGGGGCCCTACAGTAGCCCAGAACCTAACCTGCTGTATAAGTGGAGCCCTACAGTAGCCCAGAACCTAACCTGCTGTATAAGTGGGGCCCTACAGTAGCCCAGAACCTAACCTGCTGTATAAGTGGAGCCCTACAGTAGCCCAGAACCTAACCTGCTGTATAAGTGGGCCCTACAGTAGCCCAGAACCTAACCTGCTGTATAAGTGGAGCCCTGCAGTAGCCCAGAACCTAACCTGCTGTATAAGTGGGGCCCTACAGTAGCCCAGAACCTAACCTGCTGTATAAGTGGAGCCCTACAGTAGCCCAGAACCTAACCTGCTGTATAAGTGGGGCCCTACAGTAGCCCAGAACCTAACCTGCTGTATAAGTGGAGCCCTACAGTAGCCCAGAACCTAACCTGCTGTATAAGTGGGGTCCTACAGTAGCCCAGAACCTAACCTGCTGTATAAGTGGAGCCCTACAGTAGCCCAGAACCTAACCTGCTGTATAAGTGGAGCCCTACAGTAGCCCAGAACCTAACCTGCTGTATAAGTGGGGCCCTACAGTAGCCCAGAACCTAACCTGCTGTATAAGTGGGGCCCTACAGTAGCTCAGAACCTAACCTGCTGTATAAGTGGGGCCCTACAGTAGCCCAGAACCTAACCTGCTGTATAAGTGGGGCCCTACAGTAGCCCAGAACCTAACCTGCTGTATAAGTGGGGCCCTACAGTAGCCCAGAACCTAACCTGCTGTATAAGTGGGGCCCTACAGTAGCCCAGAACCTAACCTGCTGTATAAGTGGGGCCCTACAGTAGCCCAGAACCTAACCTGCTGTATAAGTGGGGCCCTACAGTAGCCCAGAACCTAACCTGCTGTATAAGTGGGGCCCTACAGTAGCCCAGAACCTAACCTGTTGTATAAGTGGAGCCCTACAGTAGCCCAGAACCTAACCTGCTGTATAAGTGGGGCCCTACAGTAGCCCAGAACCTAACTTGCTGTATAAGTGGAGCCCTACAGTAGCCCAGAACCTAACCTGCTGTATAAGTGGGGCCCTACAGTAGCCCAGAACCTAACCTGCTGTATAAGTGGGGCCCTACAGTAGCCCAGAACCTAACCTGCTGTATAAGTGGAGCCCTACAGTAGCCCAGAACCTAACCTGCTGTATAAGTGGGGCCCTACAGTAGCCCAGAACCTAACCTGCTGTATAAGTGGAGCCCTACAGTAGCCCAGAACCTAACCTGCTGTATAAGTGGGGCCCTACAGTAGCCCAGAACCTAACCTGCTGTATAAGTGGGGCCCTACAGTAGCCCAGAACCTAACCTGCTGTATAAGTGGGGCCCTACAGTAGCCCAGAACCTAACCTGCTGTATAAGTGGGGCCCTACAGTAGCCCAGAACCTAACCTGCTGTATAAGTGGAGCCCTACAGTAGCCCAGAACCTAACCTGCTGTAATAAGTGGGGCCCTACAGTAGCCCAGAACCTAACCTGCTGTATAAGTGGGGCCCTACAGTAGCCCAGAACCTAACCTGCTGTATAAGTGGGGCCCTACAGTAGCCCAGAACCTAACCTGCTGTATAAGTGGGGCCCTACAGTAGCCCAGAACCTAACCTGCTGTATAAGTGGAGCCCTACAGTAGCCCAGAACCTAACCTGCTGTATAAGTGGGGCCCTACAGTAGCCCAGAACCTAACCTGCTGTATAAGTGGGGCCCTACAGTAGCCCAGAACCTAACCTGCTGTATAAGTGGGGCCCTACAGTAGCCCAGAACCTAACCTGCTGTATAAGTGGGGCCCTACAGTAGCCCAGAACCTAACCTGCTGTATAAGTGGGGCCCTACAGTAGCCCAGGACCTAACCTGCTGTATAAGTGGGGCCCTACAGTAGCCCAGAACCTAACCTGCTGTATAAGTGGGGCCCTACAGTAGCCCAGGACCTAACCTGCTGTATAAGTGGGGCCCTACAGTAGCCCAGAACCTAACCTGCTGTATAAGTGGAGCCCTACAGTAGCCCAGAACCTAACCTGCTGTTTAAGCAGGGTCTTATAGTAGCCCAGAACCTAATCTGCTGTATAAGCAGGGCCCTACTATAGCCCAGAACTTAACCTACTGTATAAGCAGGCTCTCCTGTAGTAACAATGTATTTCTCAGTGACCTTATTTCTGCTCCAGGGAAGCGAGCCGTGCATTGGGCGGCATCTAAGGGACAACAGAGAGTTCTCCAGGTGTTGAAGGCCCACGGGGCCAACCTGCAGGCCAGGGCACACGGAGGCGCTACCCTTCTCCACTTCGCTGCTGCCGACGGCGACCTCAGCCTCGTCAAGTGGGTGGTTGCGAGCGGGGTTAAGTGCCAGGCCAAGGACAAGAATAACAGAGTGGCCAAGGAGCTGGCCAAGAGTCGCGGCCACAGCGACGTCTATCGCTACCTGAAGGATCACTCTCCCAAGAAGGGCAGCCTGGTATGTACATGTCCTGGTCGATCTCTCCTTTATTTTCCCTGGTTGTTCTTATTTTCTTGTTGTTTTTTCTTCCTGCGCTATCTTCTTTCACATTATTTATAATATTCTTATTGCGTTTTTTAATGTTTATTTTCTCTTAGTTTTCCTAATTCTTCATTTCTCATTTTCTTCGTTTTTTTTTTTTGGACAGTATTGTTTTGTTTATCATCCTCTCTCTCTCTCTCTCTCTCTCTCTCTCTCTCTCTCTCTCCCTCTCTCTTTCTCTCTCTCTCTCTCTCTCTCTCTCTCTCTCTCTCTCTCCTCCCTCTCTCTCTCTCTCTCTCTCTCTCTCTATATATACATCTTTAACTTTCCTAACATTAATAATAATAAGAAATGATCCAAGTCTGACCGAAACGTCCTCATATGTGCCGGTTATATGTATCCATCGTTTATAGTGACCACCACAGCAGTCCAAGCTTGACATCTTTCACTAACGTTTCTTTGGCCAATTTTTTTTTTTTTTTGTTTGGGGGGGAATATAAAGAAATGTAGAATGACATGATCTATAGTCACCTCTGAAATATTTATCAATATTTCTTCCCCCGAGAATTTATTGTAGTAGTATATCTGGGGAGAGCTTCGGGGTCAGCGCCCCCTCGGCCAGGTCTGTGACCAGGTCTCATGGTGGCTCAGGGCCTGATCAATCAGGCTGTTACTGTTGGCCACACACAGCCCGGTTGTTATCCTGCCTCAGCTCATTTCAAAGCCCAACCCTGTTGGTGTGGGTGGCATCCCGGGCCCGGGATGCCACCCACACCAATCGACTAACACCCAGGTACCTGCTTACTTCTAGGTGAACAGGAAGCAGCTGGTGTAAGGAAACATGACCAATGTTTCCACCCGGCCGGGGATCGAACCACAGACACTCACTATGTGAGCTGAGTGCGCTACCAACCGAGCCATCACACAGCACTACCACATATTTTTCGTCAAGCTTGTTTTTCATTTTCACCCATTTCCAGTAGTTCTCATTATTTCCAGGTGTCATTATTTCCAGTACCTGTCATTATTTCCAGTACCTGTCATTATTTCCAGTACCTGTCATTATTTCCAGTAACTGTCATTATTTCCAGTACCATTCATTATTTCCAGTACCTGTCATTATTTCCAGTACCTGTCATTATTTCCAGTAGCTGTCATTATTTCCAGTACCTGTCATTATTTCCAGTACCTGTCATTATTTCCAATAGCTGTCATTATTTCCAGTAGCTGTCATTATTTCCAGTAGCTGTCATTATTTAGAGTAGTTATCATTATTTCCAATAGCTGTCATTATTTCCAGTAGCTGTCATTATTTCCAGTAGCTGTCATTATTTCCAGTAGCTGTCATTATTTCAAGTAGCTGTCATTATTTCCAGGTGTCATTATTTCCAGTAGCTGTCATTATTTCCAGGTGTCATTATATTTCCAGTAGCTGTCATTATTTTCAGGTGTCATTATTTCCAGTAGCTGTCATTATTTCCAGGTGTCATTATTTCCAGTAGCTGTCATTATTTTCAGGTGACATTATTTCCAGTAGCTGTCATTATTTCCAGGTGTCATTATTTCCAATAGCTGTCATTATTTCCAGATGTCATTATTTCCAGTAGCTGTCATTATTTCCAGGTGTCATTATTTCCAGTAGCTGTCATTATTTTCAGGTGTCATTATTTCCAGTAGCTGTCATTATTTCCAGTAGCTGTCATTATTTCCAGTAGTTATCATTATTTCCAGTAGCTGTCATTATTTCCAGTAGCTGTCATTATTTCCAGTAACTGTCATTATTTCCAGTAGCAGTCATTATTTCCAGTAGCTGTCATTATTTCCACTAACTGTCATTATTTCCAGTAACTGTCATTATTTCCAGTAGCTGTCATTATTTCCAGTAGCTGTCATTATTTCCAGTAGCTGTCATTATTTCCAGTAGCTGTCATTATTTCCAGTAGCTGTCATTATTTCCAGTACCTGTCATTATTTCCAGTAGCTGTCATTATTTCCAATAGCTGTCATTATTTCCAGTAGCTGTCATTATTTCCAGTAGCTGTCATTATTTCCAATAACTGTCATTATTTCCAGTAGCTGTCATTATTTCCAGTAGCTGTCATTATTTCCAGTAGCTGTCATTATTTCCAGTAGCTGTCATTATTTCCAGTAGCTGTCATTATTTCCAGTAGCTGTCATTATTTCCAGTGGCTGTCATTATTTCTAGTGGCTGCCATTATTTCCAGCAGCTGTCATTATTTCCAGTAGCTGTCATTATTCATAGTGTCTTATTAGTGGCTGTCATTATTTCCAGCAGCTGTCATTATTTCCAGTAGCTGTCATTATTTCCATACTGTCATTATCAGCTAGGTCATTATGTCCAGTAGCTGTCATTATTTCCAGTAGCTGTCATTATTTCCAATAGCTGTCATTATGTCCAGTAGCTGTCATTATTTAAATGTGTCATTATTTCCATTGGTTGTCATTATTTCCAGTAGCTGTCATTATTTCCAGTAGCTGTCATTATTTCCACTAGCTGTCATTATTTCCAGTAGCTGTCATTATGTCCAGTAGCTGTCATTATTTAAAGGTGTCATTATTTCCAGTAGCTGTCATTATTTAAAGGTGTCATTATTTCCAGTAGCTGTCATTATTTCCAGTAGCTGTCATTTTTTCATAGTGTCATTATTTACAGTGTGTCATTATTTCCAGTAGCTGTCATTATTTAAAGGTGTCATTATTTCCAGTAGCTGTCATTATTTCCAGTAGCTGTCATTATTTCCAGTAGCTGTCATTATTTCTAGTGGCTGTCATTATTAAGTTCAGTGTATTTTCAGTATATGTCCAGTTATTTAAGTGTCATTATTTCCAATGTGTCATTATTTCCAGTAGCTGTCTTTCAGTGTCATATTCCAGTAGCTGTCATTATTTCTAGTGGCTGTCATTATTTCCAGTATCTGTCATTATGTCCAGTAGCTGTCATTATTTAAATGTGTCATTATTTCCAGTGGTTGTCATTATTTCCAGTAGCTGTCATTATTTCTAGTGACTCAATATTTCCAGTAGCTGTCATTACGTCCAGTACCTGTCATTACTGAAAGGTGTCATTATTTCCAGTAGCTGTCATTATTTCCAGTAGCTGTCATTATTTCCAGTAGCTGTCATTATTTCCAGTAGCTGTCATTATTTCCAGTAGCTGTCATTATTTCCAGTAGCTGTCATTATTCCTAGCTATATGTCCATAGTGTCATTATTTAAAGGTGTCATTATTTCCAGTAGCTGTCATTATTTCCAGTAGCTGTCATTATTTCCAGTAGCTGTCATTATTTCCAGTAGCTGTCATTATGTCCAGTAGCTGTCATTATTTAAAGGTGTCATTATCCATGCTTCCTTATAAGCTGTCATTATTAAAAGGTGTCATTATTTCCAGTAGCTGTCATTATGTCCAGTAGCTGTCATTATTTAAAGTGTCATTATTTCCAGTAGCTGTCATTATTTAAAGGTGTCATTATTTCCAGTAGCTGTCATTATGTCCAGTAGCTGTCATTATTTAAAGGTGTCATTATTTCCAGTAGCTGTCATTATTTAAAGGTGTCATTATTTCCAGTAGCTGTCATTATGTCCAGTAGCTGTCATTATGTCCAGTAGCTGTCATTATTTCCAGTAGCTGTCATTATGTCCAGTAGCTGTCATTATTTAAAGGTGTCATTATTTCCAGTAGCTGTCATTATTCCAGTAGCTGTCATTATTTCCAGTAGCTGTCATTATTTAAATGTGTAACATTATTTTCCATACTGTCATTATAAAGGGTCATTATTCTTCCAAGTAGCCTGTCATTATATTCCATTACTGTCCATTATTTAAGGTGTCATATTCCATAGCTGTCAATATTTAAAGGGTCATTACTATTGCCACTCACCTGTCATATTTCCAGTAATGCAGGTTATTTCTCATAGCTGTCATCATAACCTGCATCGTTCCATAGGCAGTCTATTTTTCAATGGCTCAACTTACATAACATCATCCTTGTGTTCCATTTGCATTTCCCGTATTTCTTCTTATACATTGCCTCTCCAAAACCTTTCATCTGGTCCATGCCATCGTATTTTATCATGTCTTCAATACCTATACGGCAGCAGTGTATTCACATGTGCCTCACTACGCATGGTTGCAGGTATTCATAAAAATGAGGAAATTATTTCAATTACATGGCGCCTCATACTGCTCCTGGTCCATGGCAGTCGTATTTCTCATACATGGCCCTCACTACCTGCATCCCGGTCCATGGCAGTCGTATTTCTCATACATGGCCCTCACTACCTGCATCCTGGTCCATGGCAGTCGTATTTCTCATACATGGCCCTCACTACCTGCATCCCGGTCCATGGCAGTCGTATTTCTCATACATGGCCCTCACTACCTGCATCCTGGTCCATGGCAGTCGTATTCACCTCAAACAATTCACGGCAGAAGAACTTTCAAAATGTTTTCCACACGGCGCCGATTGCATACTGTGTACTCACCTAGTTGAGGTTGCAAGGGTCGATTCCTAGCTCCTGGCCCCGCCTCTTCACTGATCGCTACTATGTCACTCTCCCTGTGTGTGTGTGTGTGTATGTGTGTGTATGTGTGTGTGTGTGTGTGTGTGTGTGTGTGTATGTGTGTGGTTGTGTGTGTGTGTGCTGTGTGGTGTGTGTGTGTGGTGTGTGTGTGTGTGTGTGAGTGTGTGTGGTTGTTGATATACGGAGTTCCAGATGGAAATGTGAGAAGGGTTGGACTTGAGAAGGACCTGCCTAGTATGGGCCAATAGGCCTACTTTAATGGTCATCTGTTCTTATCATATTTTTCTTATGGTGTGTCAACTCTCAGTTCCAGCTGATGACATCGCCTCTGAGAAGCTCTGGACGGAACAGCAAGAGACACAAGAACCGACAGCCAGGGAGTGGTGGATGGCAGGGAGAAGGACCTGACATTCCATACACTCTGGACATCCCCCAAGAGACAGATGTGGAACCCATGACCTTAGCTACGATGGGTGTAAGATCAACGGGTTCAAACATGGCCGCCCATGGATCAGTGAGCCAGGATAGTACCGACTCCAGACAAGTAAATTCAAGCAAGATGACTTTGAGGCGGCATCAAGCTCAGACAAGACTGATTATGGAGCAAAAATGAGTTCGGACAAGATGGACAAGGAAAGAAAACTTAGTTTAGATAAGACTGACTATGGAGCAAAAATGAGCTCGGACAAGATGGACAGGGAAAGAAAACTTAGCTCAGACAAGACAGATTATGAACGAAAACTAAGCTCAGACAAGATGCTCTCGGAACCGTCGATGAGTTCATACAAGACGGAACTGAAATCAGGAAGTTTAGATAGTGCAGGAAAAACGGAGAAGGCACCAGCAGTGCCTTTGCAGACCTGTGAACCAGCACCTCAGCCATCGTCTGTCTCCGCGTCAGCTTCCATGACCTACGGCTCTGTGGGCCGCGATGTGACACACTCCCTGCCTCTACTTCCATCCCCACACCGGTCATCCCTGGGTTCTGCCTATGGACGCGAGGTGAGTGTAGTCAGGTGCGACAACCTAGGGGTCTCTTCTGTCCATTGACAAAACAAACAAAAAATCATTGGTTTCACTTTTGATGTTAGAGTGGGATTTAATGCAAATTGTGTCCACTTAAATATAAAAAAAAAATCAAACGCTCACACGCAAAGAGGTAATTATGTACATGTCAAACGCCTTCCAATATTTTTTTTTACAATTTTTGGAGAGTTATGATACGCAGTTATCACGAGACTTGATTTTTTTTGTCACATACATTCGTATATACAATTATATATAGTTTATAATACATACAGCACATGCAACAGCTATAAATCCATACAACAAACACACACACACACACACACACACACACACACACACACACACACGCGCGCGCCAGGAACTCGGACTCGACCCCCGCAACCTCAACTAGGTGAGTACATACACACACACACGCACACACACACACACACACACACACACACACACAGGATCCATACATAGCTTTAAGCAGAGGTATGATAAAGCTCACGGTTCAGGGAGTGACCTAGTAGTGACCAGTGAAGAGGCGGGGCCAGGAGCTCGGACTCGACCCCTGCAACCTCAACTAGGTGAGTACACACACACACACACACACACACACACACACACACACACACACTATTCCTTCAGTCATAGAGTTGTCAGGCAGTGGAACAGCCTAAAAAGTAACGTAGTGGAGGCGGGAACCATACATAGTTTTAAGACGGGGTATGATAAAGCTCATGGAGCAGGGAGAGAGAGGACCCAGTAGCAACCAGTGAAGAGACAGGGCCAGGAGCTATGACTCGACCCCTGCAACCACAAATAGGTGAGTACACACCTCACGTCATACTAATCACTTCAGCTATACAGATTTTCATTAACAAACTGCTTCCTGCCAACCCGCGTCTGACTGCACAGAGTAAACGCAGCAGTCTGCCCAGGAGCTTCTCACTCAGCAGGAAGTCTGCACGCAAGGCACACGTCAGGGAGCTCACCGAGATCAAGGTGAGTGTTGTCAAGTGTCTCCCTAACAGCTTTGTCACTAACTACCAGTTCTTTAATTCACAAATGAGCTAATAACTATCATTTTTTAACTCAAGGATCCGTGAAAAATATTGTTTTCACCCATACTGGCTCTTGCTTACATTTTTCAATGTATGTTTTTATATTTTTATTATTATGCTAAGCAATAAGGAGGCAGAAAAAACGAAAATTAATTTGGTCTATATATATCGACCCCACATCTGAGGTCCTCTTCAGCAGATACAAAAAAATAAAAAAAATAAAAATAAGGGCAAGGTAACGATTATGAGTAAATTTGATTACAACAAAACCCATGTACGATCTGTTGTATGACATCACTGCAAGTACCAACTTTAACAAAATATAATCCCTAGAAACCAACAGAGGGACAGTTGATATACTCAAATTCAAAATCCCAAACCCACGTCTTCCTGACTTTTCTGGGCTAATACTGAATGTTGCATCTTGTGAGTTCATTACCTTTGTAAATTGTAATTTCATTACGTTTGTAAATTGTGAGTTCATTACCTTTGTAACTTGCTCAGCTATCAAAACTATGAGGCCCAGTCCCTGGACCCATTATGTACCTCTGTAATCTTTTGACTACCGTCCACAGGATGGGTATGAGGTGCATAATAAACATATTAAACTAACTGTTAGAACTCCATCTAAACCTTGATTGCCAAACCATTTCTTACATAAGATATAATATGACCTACAACTAAAGTGCTGATCCATTCTTCCTACATAAACGTTATTTTTTTTTGTTTTTTGATCTGCTGAAGAGGACCCCAGTTGGGGATCGAAATATACAAAGCAACATTGTTTTCCATGTTTCTGTCTCCATGTGGATTACTTAGCCTCGATAAATGTCCATTGCACTTTCATTGTTAAAACATTAAAATGTGCATTGATATGAAGCACTAAACCCGTGTGGATTATTTAACACCTGAAGTTGTAGAAGATCGATCCTACGTCCGTTCATGGAGAGAGAGAAATGCGTCTCTGGCTATCAGTGCTTCCCGGTCTCTTCTATCTTCTGGCTCAGTGTTGACATCTTTTAATAAATTGCTGTTTCTTTCTCAGGGAGTGCTGGAGGACACCCTCAGGAGCAAGGAGGAGCAAATATCTTATCTTCGGAGCCAGCTGACACAGCTGGAACATGAAAAGGTCAATACCAGTGATTTATTGATCTTTCTCCTGAGCTTAGTTAAAGCAAAGTTCCTAATACATCTATCACTCTACGATGAACTACGTCCAATAACTCATTTTGTGTGTGTGCCATTTTTTTAACTAAGCTTTTAGGATTAAGTAAATTAGATTATTCAAACAGCCTGCGTCATATATTTACGTTATATATCATAGCATTAATGGTTATATACAATAGTTATCTGGGTATTATTGTTTGTGAAGATCAGTATTGTTTCTAATTGTTTACAGGTATTATATACTGGAGACGGAAGAAGTTGTAATCATTTCCTCAGTCTTGATTGGTGTTATATGGCTAAGGAAATTTAACACCTATCAAGGCTGAGGGACTGACTACCTCATCTCCCGCTGAGTAAGACATGTGCAACATCTCAGTTGTCGACAGTAATGACCCTAAGCTGGTTTCTGCACATGTGAAATAATTATACATCTTCTGAGAGTATATACCATTATATCTGGTATATACTCTCACCATTCATTATTGGTGACTGGTGCCTTTCACACATACTAACTAGAAGTGGCACATGTATTTTGCAGTATATACTTGTGCATACAACACAGGAAGTAATAAATCATTGGCAATCCATGAATTCTTGTATTCATAATTATACATCAAGTTTTCCTTCATGAATCAAACAACCAATATCCTCATTTAACTACCAATGCAAATAACAGGCTATGCCCTGGGCTATGTTATGCCCAGCAATTAACATTTACTAGGATTTAATGTTTTATCTCTGTCCACCGAGACCTAAGAGACATTGTTATGTCAGGTGGAGATGTCAGAGCAGGTGAAGGAGCTGCAGCAGTGTCAGCATCTTCAGAGTGAACTTCAGCAGCGCCACCAGGCTATCACGAAACAGAATGCGGAGTACGAGATGATGATCGTAAGTTTTGGCGAGAGTTCGCCGAAAACTCTCACTTAGGAGAGGAACCGGACGACGTTTCGGTCCATCCTGGCCCTCTGTCAAGTTAGTACTGTGACCTGACGGTGGTTCATAAGGTTCCTCTCCTGAGGGAGGGTGTTTTGGTGAATTGTTGCATCCATAGTATTGAGGTTTTGTTATTCTCTGAGCTAGAAGCACGGATAGCTTTGAGAGATGGAATTGTATGACCCACACGGGTTCAGCGCTCGTATTTTTAATCTAGTAATAGGTTAAAGAAAATACATATAGGACAAGAACTTTACTAACACAGTTTTACCTACATAAAGTTATTTCATAAAGCTTCGTGTAGATAAGTAAGTTTATTCAGGTATACACAAATACAGTTACATAGATTATCATACATAGCAGCATATGTGTAGAGAACCTAGAATAACCCAAAAAAGTCAGATTGACTTTATTTCCATTGCATCAGTCCATGTTGTATGCTCTTCAAGAGTAGTACTAAAAAATGGTTATAACTATGACCATAATTTTTAAAGGTGTGGACTGGTAAGCCAGTAGAAGGCCTCAGTCAGATGACCAAAAGCTCCAACGGCGGGTCATAACCTAGGTGACTAAAACCCGCGTCAGGAAACACTTGTCCTGTTTCCTGACCTAACCTAACCTTCAAGAGTAGCACCTTGATACTGGTGAGGTACTTTTGATCCAGGGGATTAGAGATACCCTCCTCTTGGATCAAACCTGATTGCCATAAACCTCTCGTGTCTTGGGTTTAATGCTTTCCCAATAAAGGTCTTTAGCTGTGTTTTTCTACCCCTCACATCAACAGTGTTATAATAATTGTGAATGGAATCAAAATTCAGAATACAGTAGCCTCGAACTTATAATAATAATAATAATAATAATAATAATAATAATAATAATAATAATAATAATAATAATAATAATAATAATAATATTTTATTTCAGCATGATAAGATGTTTATATAGAGATATGTGACATTTAGTTGTGTGTGCAGAAACCCCATAGTTATGCACAAAATTTCTGGTAATCACAATAACGAATTAATTGCTTAGAAAAGTCTTTGATTAGAACTGGAATTTACTAGCAGAAGCTAAAATTGCTCTGGAAGTCCATAAACAGGAATTGGAAGCACATATTGGAACTAATTACAAAGTTACAGCCCAGAGGGAGATAAAAAAAATCAGATATTTAATTAAAAAAATTATAATGGACATAAATAAAGGAAGACTAGATATAATACACATAGTAATACTTTACAAAGAAAGACCTAAATTAATACTAAGTTTTATATTTAGAATGTTCAGAAAAAATCAAAGTAATTAGGAAAATAGGTAAGGCAAAGTTTATTTGTATATATAAGATGAAAAATACTAAATAAAAAGGAAAAATATATAATAAAGTACGAAAAGAAAGTGTTAAACTACCAAAATTGAAATATTTTTTAGAGTCCAATACAAAATAAAGCTTAAGAACCGCATCAAAGCTCAGAGATAATTTTAACAAATTGAAGCAGAAGATAAAGCTGAAATCACACAAGTTTTAAAACTTGTATTGCAGTTATAGAGGAAGAGTTATGTACATGGAAAAGTTATGTGTTGTACATGGTAAGTTCTTAGTGCCAGGCACAGATTGTCAGTGTGGAAGTGTTATTGTGATGATCAACATCTTTACAAAATTAGTTGTAAAGTTTACCAAGATAAAACTAAGATACTGAAGGAACCGAGTTACCGATACATGATGACTATTTATTATTGTTATTATTATTCTTACATTCATGGGATGCACCAAGCCTGAAACAGTCATACAGCGTCTAGTGAATGGGAAATAGGCTTCATCCGAGGAAGAGGAAGAATAGATATAATTCCTTGGATCAAAAGCTCTTCACCAGCGACAAGGCACATCCCTTGATGGGCAGTTAAGAATATTATCCTGAGACATAACGACTATAAATATACATTTGATTCACCTCCCATATATTTACTTGCTCATTATTCATCATCTCTGTCTGCCTACCATCTTCATTTCACTTCTCGTAGCGCCACTACGATGCATGTCTTTCGTATCTTACACAGGAACACCTGGAAAGGCGACAGGAAGAATTTTTACAGGTAGACTCTGCTAAAAGTGATGCCATTGCTGTCTGCGACAGTCACATCCAAGAACTGACTCGTATTGTGGGAGAGAACAGAGAACAGCTCTCCAGGTATCAGGTCAGTTGGAGAACCAGGGTCCTGTATTTCTTTACTCTGAAATTTCGAATTTGCATTTGTCCATATTGGCTGTACTGAAGGTTTATCGCAGTTGAGGTGGGTCCCTACCTACAAATGTATTTTTATTCTGGTTTTTCGATTTACAAGTTATTTATTTGTGAAAATTTTATAAAGAAATATTACCGGATATACTTCTTAAATATTTGCATAAAAACTCATCAGCTGTAAAATTTAATTGGTGACTTTATACTGATTAGCAACCACAGAAGGTTAATAACCTAGGAAAATTTAGTAAGCCAAGCAGTGTGACTTATTTCCATTGATTTTTTTAAGGTCCTCTTCCAAACTACAACAGTCGACAAACATTATATATATATATATATATATATAATATATATTATATATATATATATATATATATATATATATATATATATATATATATATATATATATATTATATATATATATATATATATATATACATATATATATATATATTATATATATATATGTATATATACCTGGAGTTTACCTGGAGAGAGTTCCGGGGGTCAACGCCCCCGCGGCCCGGTCTGTGACCAGGCCACCTGGTGGATCAGAGCCTGATCAACCAGGCTGTTACTGCTGGCTGCACGCAAACCAACGTACGAGCCACAGCCCGGCTGATCAGGAACTGACTTTAGGTGCTTGTCCAGTGCCAGCTTGAAGACTGCCAGGGGTCTGTTGGTAATCCCCCTTATGTGTGCTGGGAGGCAGTTGAACAGTCTCGGGCCCCTAACATTTATTGTATGGTCTCTTAACGTGCTAGTGACACCCCTGCTTTTCATTGGGGGGATGGTGCATCGTCTGCCAAGTCTTTTGCTTTCGTAGTGAGTGATTTTCGTGTGCAAGTTCGGTACTAGTCCCTCTAGGATTTTCCAGGTGTATATAATCATGTATCTCTCCCTCCTGCGTTCCAGGGAATACAGGTTTAGGAACCTCAAGCGCTCCCAATAATTGAGGTGTTTTATCTCCGTTATGCGCGCCGTGAAAGTTCTCTGTACATTTTCTAGGTCGGCAATTTCACCTGCCTTGAAAGGTGCTGTTAGTGTGCAGCAATATTCCAGCCTAGATAGAACAAGTGACCTGAAGAGTGTCATCATGGGCTTGGCCTCCCTAGTTTTGAAGGTTCTTATTATCCATCCTGTCATTTTTCTAGCAGATGCGATTGATACAATGTTATGGTCCTTGAAGGTGAGATCCTCCGACATGATCACTCCCAGGTCTTTGACGTTGGTGTTTCGCTCTATTTTGTGGCCAGAATTTGTTTTGTACTCTGATGAAGATTTAATTTCCTCATGTTTACCATATCTGAGTAATTGAAATTTCTCATCGTTGAACTTCATATTGTTTTCTGCAGCCCACTGAAAGATTTGGTTGATGTCCGCCTGGAGCCTTGCAGTGTCTGCAATGGAAGACACTGTCATGCAAATTCGGGTGTCATCTGCAAAGGAAGACACGGTGCTGTGGCTGACATCCTTGTCTATGTCGGATATGAGGATGAGGAACAAGATGGGAGCGAGTACTGTGCCTTGTGGAACAGAGCTTTTCACCGTAGCTGCCTCGGACTTTACTCTGTTGACGACTACTCTCTGTGTTCTGTTAGTGAGGAAATTATAGATCCATCGACCGACTTTTCCTGTTATTCCTTTAGCACGCATTTTTGTGCGCTATTACGCCATGGTCACACTTGTCGAAGGCTTTTGCAAAGTCTGTATATATTACATCTGCATTCTTTTTGTCTTCTAGTGCATTTAGGACCTTGTCGTAGTGATCCAATAGTTGAGACAGACAGGAGCGACCTGTTCTAAACCCATGTTCCCCTGGGTTGTGTAACTGATGGATTTCTAGATGGGTGGTGATCTTGCTTCTTAGGACCCTTTCAAAGATTTTTATGATATGGGATGTTAGTGCTATTGGTCTGTAGTTCTTTGCTGTTGCTTTACTGCCCCCTTTGTGGAGTGGGGCTATGTCTGTTGTTTTTAGTAACTGTGGGACGACCCCCGTGTCCATGCTCCCTCTCCATAGGATGGAAAAGGCTCGTGATAGGGGCTTCTTGCAGTTCTTGATGAACACAGAGTTCCATGAGTCTGGCCCTGGGGCAGAGTGCATGGGCATGTCATTTATCGCCTGTTCGAAGTCATTTGGCGTCAGGATAACATCGGATAGGCTTGTGTTAATCAAATTTTGTGGCTCTCTCATAAAAAATTCTTTTGATCTTCGACTCTCAGTCTGGTTAGCGGCTTGCTAAAAACTGAGTCATACTGGGACTTGAGTAGCTCACTCATTTCCTTGCTGTCATCTGTGTAGGACCCATCTTGTTTAAGTAGGGGCCCAATACTGGACGTTGTTCTCGATTTTGATTTGGCATAGGAGAAGAAATACTTTGGGTTTCTTTCGATTTCATTTATGGCTTTTAGTTCTTCCCGCGATTCCATGACTCCTAAAGGATTCTTTTAGCTTAAGTTCGATGCTTGCTATTTCTCTGACCAGTGTCTCCCTACGCATTTCAGATATATTGACCTCTTTTAGCCGCTCTTTATTCTTTTCCGTCGCCTGTAAAGGGAGCGCCTGTCTCTTTCTATTTTACATCTACTCCTCCTTTTTCTTAGAGGAATAAGCCTTGTGCAAACATCGAGTGCCACCGAGTTAATATATAATGTATATATATATGTATATATATATATATATATATATATATATATATATATATATATATATATATTATATATATATATATATATATATATATATATATATATTTGCTGCCTAGGCAACATAGACAGCAGGTGTTATAAGGAGACTAGTTCATACCTCCCAGGATTTAACTCGGAGCACTCTGATCGTGAACCGAACACGTATTTCTAAGTTAGGACTTAGGACCTACTGTATACCTAAACATCACTTCTGAACATAAAGTGGGAGATTCATCTGTGTGTTCTATCGTGTAACAGAGACAGCAGGAAGAGAAGGAGAAGGAATTGCTTGCCTTGGATGCCTCTCACAAGCAGACGATAGACACCCTCAAGGCCAACGTGGACCGCCTCACAGCCATGCTGAGGAAGAGCGACGTGAACCACGTCAAGAGACAGGTAGGTACTAGCCTACACTTGGTGTTAGGGGTCGAATCGTAGCTCCACTTGTCGCTTGCCAGATTCCTTCTTTCCTGTGGTCTGACACTGCTATTATCTTCATTTTTTTTTTCATTTTCATATCCCTCTCAGTCTTGTGTTGAAACTGGTGAATATAAATCATGGTGCTCAGCCATTTTAAAAAAGTAATTCAATACCTTCTTATAGCAATAATTATTATTTTTATTTATATTATCATTAGTGTAATTATTATTAGTATTATTTATACTGTATTGTTGTTTCTGTTGTTATTGTTACCATTTATCATTATTATCATCCTAATGTCACAATGGTAGGCTCCAATAAGTGTCTTTCATCAGCCTGGAGGTATGGAGGTGGGGGAGGACGTGCTGGACGAGGATGGTAATATACTCGTTAGATCCGTAGACGACCTGCAGAAGAACCTCAGTAAGATGTCCAAGAGGGTCGAGGAGTATGAGAAATTCAACTCCTGCTTCAAGGTATTGTCTTTCTCTCTTATCTTTCATTTTTTCTTCTTCAGCAAGTGGTTAATGTGTCTAGTAGAGCTTTGAATGGGTCGATTGGTTGTTGCTTATTAAGATTCCCATCTGCTGGGCTAACGGCCATCGACCTATATAGAGGTTATTAGGCCAAGGCCGGGCCGGGGCAAGACCGGCGAACCTACTACAATATATAGGCCAAGGGTGATCTTGTTTTGTTGCGCTGACACATGATCACCTGTCAGCCAGGAAGGTACAAGGAAGAAATGGACATATGTCTACTGTCAAGAAGCATAAGTGTGTCAGTGTAGTGTCTGGATCATCAAACTATTATGTATGATGCAAGCTTTCATTGTCATAAAAAAATGAATACAGGCAGCGTATGTTATAGATGAAAGCTAGGGGAGGTACCTCCAGTTTTTTTTTATCTAGAAATACCTATAGTTTGCATTTTTTAGTGTCCCTTAATCCATTTTTTTAGTGTCACTCAAGCTTTATTTAACCTCTTTTTTAGTAGAAACATTGATATCCATAATGACATCTGCAGCATTTTTGGGTAGCTTCGTTGGAGTGCAGATGTGTTGCTCTATCCCAACCTTGACCAACATTGTCGAACTTACCATGTCTTCTCCCTCTGGGACGTTTGTGTTCATGATGAATCTTACCTACCTGTCAGTACTGTATTACATTATTAGAATGATAATTGTCCTAATGATACTGCCCACTGCTGGGCAGCTAGTAGGGTCACCATACATCAGCCCGTATATCACTGGTATTGTAAATCTGTAGTGGAGGGAAGGCGGGGAGGGATCGTCCGAGGAAAGGATAGAGGGAGATGGTAAAGGAGGTTTTTGTATGCATCCAGCAGGCATGTGTGAGCATGTTAGATAGGAGTGAGTGGAGGCAAATGGTTTTTTTGGGGACTTGACGAGCTGTTAGAGAGTGAGTGAGCTATTTCATTACTTTTTAAAAAGTCAATAGAGACTAGCACCTTCCCGAAACTACTCAAGATGGCAAGGGTTACACCAATACATAAAGGTGGTGACCCTACAGACTTAAACAACTATAGGCCAATATCTAACTTACCATTGCTATCCAAAATCTTTGAGAAACTCGTGTACAAGAGACTGTATTCATTTATAACGGCTCAAAACATACTCAACCCCTGCCAGTTTGGATTCAGGAAAAATAAAAGCACTAATGATGCAATCATAAAAATGCTAGATCTGCTTTACACAGCATTGGGAAATAAGGAATACCCACTAGGAATTTTTATTGACCTAAGAAAAGCTTTTGACACAGTAAACCACCAAATCCTACTCCACAAACTTGACCACTACGGTATAAGAGGCCATGCGCTTGCTTATTTCAAATCTTACATTACTAATAGGTATCAGTACGTCACCATTAAAGACACAGCATCAGCAACACGGCCACTTGATACTGGAGTTCCGCAGGGAAGTGTCCTTGGTCCCCTGCTCTTCCTCATATACATCAATGACCTTCCAAACGTATCCCAACCCCCTGAAACCCATTCTCTTTGTGATGACACGACTTATGTCATCTCTCACCCTAATCTTGCCACCCTCAACACCATTGTGAATGAGGAGCTAAATTAAAATATCGACTTAGATGACGGCCAATAAACTTACGCTTAACACTGACAAAACTTACTATATTATGTTTTGGTAGCAGAGCAGGAGATGCACAAATTAAACATTAAGATTGACAACACTCTAATTACCAGAAATAATGGGGAAAATTCCTAGGCTTATACCTGACAACAACCTGAATTTCAGCACCATATCCAGCATATACCCAAAAAAAAGTATCCAAAACGGTTGGGATCCTCTCCAAGATACGTTCCTACGTGCCGCAAAAATGCCCTTCTCACACTTTTACCACTCACTTATTTATCCATACCTCACCTATGCTATTTGTGCTTGGGGATCAACCTGCAGCAACACACCTAAAGCCAAATAATAACCCAACAAAAAGCTGCAGTAAGAATAATCACCAAATCCCATCCCTGGCAGCACCCCCCCCCCACTCTTCAAAGATCTAAACTTATTTCCCAGTTCAGTACATCAACACTTACTACTGTGCAATCTATATCTACAGGGCCTTAAACTCTAATATCAACCTTGACCTAAACGCCTCTTGATAGTTGTGACAGAACCCACAGGCATAACACCAGACAAAAACATCTCTACGACATTCCCCTGTCCGACTAAACCTTTAAAAAAATTCAATGTATGTAAAAGGGCCCTAAATCTGGAATACCCTACCGGGAGTTTACCTGGAGAGAGTTCCGGGGGTCAACGCCCCCGCGGCCCCGGGTCTGAGACCAGGCCTCCTGGTGGATCAGAGCCTGATCAACCGGGCTGTTGCTGCTGGCTGCACGCAAACCAACATACGAGCCACAGCCCGGCTGATCCGGAACTGACTTTAGGTGCTTGTCCAGTGCCAGCTTGAAGACTGCCAGGGGTCTGTTGGTAATCCCCTTATTGTTGCTGGGAGGCAGTTGAAACAGTCTTGGGCCCCTGACACTTTTTGTATGGTTTTTCTTAACGTGCTAGTGACACCCCTGCTTTTCATTGGGGGGATGGTCCCAATCGTCTGCCAAGTCTTTTGCTTTCGTATTTGGGTGATTTTCGTGTGCAAGTTCGGTACTAGTCCCTCTAGGATTTTCCAGGTGTATATAATCATGTATCTCTCCCTCCTGCTTTTCCCCAGGGAATACAGGTTTAGGAACCTCAAGCGCTCCCAATATTTGAGGTGTTTTATCTCCGTTATGCGCCCCGTGAAAGTTCTCTGTACATTTTCTAGGTCGGCAATTTCACCTGCCTTAAAAAGGTGCTGTTAGTGTTGCAGCAATATTCCAGCCTAGATAGACAAGTGACCTGAAGAGTGTCATCATGGGCTTGGCCTCCCTAGTTTTGAAGGTTCTCATTATCCATCCTGTCATTTTTCTAGCAGATGCGTTTGATACAATGTTATGGTCCTTGAGGTGAGGATCCTCCGACATGATCACCCCCAGGTCTTTGACGTTGGTGTTTCGCTCTATTTTGTGGCCAGAATTTGTTTTGTACTCTGATGAAGATTTAATTTCCTCATGTTTACCATATCTGAGTAATTGAAATTTCTCATCTTTTGAACTTCATATTGTTTTCTGCAGCCCACTGAAAGATTTGGTTGATGTCTGCCTGGAGCTTTGGCAGTGTCTGCAATGGAAGACACTGTCATGCAGATTCGGGTGTCATCTGCAAAGGAAGACAGGGTGCTGTGGCTAACATCCTTGTCTATGTCGGATATAAGGATGAGGAACAAGATGGGAGCGAGTACTGTGCCTTGTGGAACAGAGTTTTTTCCCTTTAGCTGCCTCGACTTTACTCTGTTGACGACTACTCTCTGTGTTCTGTTAGTGAGGAAATTATAGATCCATCGACCGACTTTTCCTGTTTTTCCCTTTAGCACGCATTTTGTGCCTATTACGCCATGGTCACCCCTTGTCGAAGGCTTTTCCCAAAGTCTGTATATATTACATCTGCATTCTTTTTGTCTTCTAGTGCATTTAGGACCTTGTCGTAGGGGGTCCAATAGTTGAGACAGACAGGAGCGACCTGTTCTAAACCCATGTTGCCCTGGGTTTGTAATGATGGGTTTCTAGATGGGTGGTGATCTTCTTCTTAGGACCCTTTCAAAGATTTTTGAAAAGGGATGTTATTTGCTATTGGTCTGTAGTTCTTTGCTGTTGCTTTACTGCCCCCTTTGTGGAGTGGGGCTATGTCTGTTGTTTTTAGTGACTGTGGGACGCCCCCCGTGTCCATGCTCCCTCTCCATAGGATGGAAAAGGCTCGTGATGGGGGCTTCTTGCAGTTCTTGTGAACACAGATTTTCCATGAGTCGGCCCTGGGGCAGAGTGAAATGGGCATGTCATTTATCGCCTGTTCGAAGTCATTTGGCGTCAGGATAACATCGGAAAGGCTTGTGTTAATCAAATTTTGTGGCTCTCTCATAAAAAATTCATTTTGATCTTCGACTCTCAGTCCTGGTTAGGGGCTTGCTAAAAACTGAGTCATATTGGGCTTGAGTAGCTCACCATTTCCTTGCTGTCATCTGTGTAGGACCCATCTTGTTTAAGTAGGGGGCCCCCTACTGGACGTTGTTCTCGATTTTGATTTGGCATAGGAGAAGAAATAAATTTGGGTTTCTTTCGATTTCATTTTGGCTTTTAGTTTTTTCCCGCGATTCCTGACTCCTAAAGGATTCTTTTGCTTAAGTTCGATGCTTGCATTTCTCTGACCAGTGTCTCCCTACGGGATTTCAGATATATTGACCTCTTTTAGCCGCTTGTTTTTCTTTTCCCTCGCCTGTAAAGGGGGGCGCCTGTCTCTTTCTGTTTACATCTACTCCTCCTTTTTCTTAGAGGAATAAGCCTTGTGCATACATCGAGTGCTACCGGGGTTAATCTGTTCTAGGCATAAGTTGGGGTCTGTGTTGCTTAGTATATCTTCCCAGTTATATCGGTTAGGAAATTGGTTTACTTGGGCCCACTTTATGTTTTTGTTATTGAAGTTGAATTTGGTGAATGCTCCCTCGTGATAATCTCATTAGTTTGGTCTGGGGCTCCGCTCATACATGACTGAACCTCAATTATGTTGTGATCTGAGTATTTGTTTTTGATATGGTGATATTTCTTATCAGATCATCATTGTTAGTGAAGATGAGGTCTAGTGTATTCTCCAGTCTAGTAGGCTCTATTATTTGCTGGTTTAAATTGAATTTTGTGCAGAGATTTAAAAGCTCGCGTGAGTGTGAGTTTTCATCAGAGCTGCCTCCTGGTGTTATTACTGCAACAATATTATTTGCTATATTCCTCCATTTTAGGTGCCTTAAGTTGAAATCCCCCAGGAGCAAGAGTTGGGTGCAGGAGCTGGAAGGTTTTCCAGACAGTGGTCAATTTTTAACAGCTGTTCCTGGAATTGCTGGGATGTTTGCATCCGGAGGCTTGTAGACTATCACAATGACTAGGTTTTGGTTCTCGACCTTTACTGCTAAAACTTCCACTACATCATTTGAGGCATTTAGCAGTTCTGTGCAAACAAGTGACTCTGCAATGACAGGCCAACCCCCCCCCCTTTTGCCTGTTCACTCTGTCACATCTGTATAGGTTGTAACCTGGGATCCATATTTCGTTGTCCAAGTGATCCTTTATGTGGGTCTCAGTGAAAGCCGCGAACATTGCCTTTGCCTCTGCAAGCAGTCCACGGATGAAGGTATTTTGTTGTTTGTTGCTGGCTTTAGACCCTGTATATTTGCAAAGAAGAATGTTATCGGACTGGTGGTATTGTTGGTACTGGGGGGGGATTTTTTTTCCGGCATTAGTACTGTATCTGTTGGTTTGGAGTGGAGGCCATCGACTGTGGTTCCACTCCAGGAATGACTGGATTTGGTGTACGATTTCTGCCATTTCCTGCCAGTTTTTTTTTCCTTCCTGGCACTAAAAAACCTCTCCCTCTTGAGTGGCTGTGGCTACCCAGGTTTTCCCATGGCCTGGATGTTTTGTATCTTTTTGTCCCCTTTAGATGGTATGCCTGGCAATTTAAGTTATAGCACAGTCTTTCCTGTACTGAAGAGGTACACAGTTCAGGGTGAAAAAGCTTACAGGAAGGGAGTTTGCATTTTCCTGTTGTCATATGGGCATGGCATTTCCTAGGGTGGTCATAGTTGCACGTCCCATCTGAGAACTCTAGAACTGCAGACACATTCATCACCTTCAAAACTACCATTAGAAAACATCTTATCTCCCTGATACACCCCGTCAACTAACTACACGAATACCACCTGGTGGTTCACACTTACACTCGCTCACTCATTTGACCATAAACAGAAATATTAATCTCAGTCTTAAAATAATGAATCCTGTGATACTCCAATACTGAAACTATATACTGTGCCAAAACAAAAGCATTCACATTGCTAAACTCATAAACTAGTATTTAGTCACTTAGCCATAATACCAACTTACCTCATAATTTGTAATATTTTACAATTAAGAATAAAACTAAGTATGCCCGAAATGCCTAGCCATGCTAAGCGTTCTAGTGGTACACTCTGTAATCACAATTTTACTACATGTAAACCAAACAATAACCAAATTTCTGTAAACTCAGCATTGTAATCCTTATAGAGAATAAACTTTGAATTGAATTGAATTGAATTGAATTGAAGGATTCGGGGAAACCGGCTAGCCAGACTTGAATCCTGGAGGTGAGAAATGCAGTGCCTATACTCTAAAGAAGAGGCTAGAGATATGTGCTGTTTGGAGGGACATCTGAAATGTATGTGAACGCCTCTGGCAAGACAGTAATAGTGTGAATTATGGTGAAAGTTTTTTTTCGGGTCACCCTACCTAGTCATTTTGTCTGACCTTTTGTGAGTTATCGTAGGTAATTTACACATATGTTAAACTATGGTTTGGTAAGGTTTGCCAGGAAATGAACATGTGTCAGTGTTTCCTGATGCGGGTCTTAGTCATACGGTGCCCCGTGGTCTGGTGGCTAAAGCTCTTGCTTCACACTGTCCGGGTTCGATTCCCGGTGAAGGTAGAAACATTGGATGTGTTTCCTCACACCGGTTGTCTATGTTCACCCATCAGTAAAAGTGGAACCTGGGTGTTAGTGGACTGGTGTGGGTCGCATCCTGGGACAAAACTGACCTAATTTGCCCGAAATCAGCTAGGCCTGTATACCGTGTACATGTACGTGTAGAAATATATTATTATTATTATTATTATTATTATTATTATTATTATTATTATTATTATTATTATTATTATTATTATTATTATTATTATTATTATACGATGACCCTGTGTATGATAATTGTACTTATGTGTAGCTGTACTTACACTTACCTGGACGCAGGGCTGTCACTGGCCCTTACAACCATAACAAGAAGAAGGTGACTCTGGTTACCTTTCAAGTAAGTTTATTCAGGTATACACAAATACAGTTACATAGATTATTATACATAGCAGCATATATGTAGAGAACCTGGGATAACCCAAAACAAGGTCAGACAAAATGACTTATTTCTTTCGTCCGGCGCTGGTGGAGTCCGTGTAAATTTATTGAAGTACAATTACACATAACAACAATTAACCATCTCAGACCATTAATTACCCAACAAAAGGCTGCAGTTAGAATGATAACAAATTCTCACTACAGGCAACACACTCCACCAATATTCAAAACACTCAACCTACTCACCATACAAAACATCCATACTTATTACTGCACCTATTACATACATAGAACACTTAACTCTGATATTAACCATCCCCTCAAACATCTCCTTGCCAACCTCAACAGAACACATGACCATAATACAAGGCACAGATCACTCTTTGATGTTCCTCGTGTCCATCTCACGCTATGCAAAAACTCAATGCACATAAAAGGCCCTAAAATCTGGAATTCATTATCTGTAAATATAAAAGAAACACTACCTGTTTATAAATTCAAGTCTCTTCTCAAAGATCACTTACTCACTCAAAACCAAATAAATACTGAATAACTGAACCTTATAAATTGTATATCCTAAATGTTTCTCACAATTATAACACATAAATGTTAAACCTAAGACCCAATCTAACTTTGTTATTTTTTAAATACACTACCTAACAGAATACTCCATTCTACTGAATGTACAGCAATGCATGCAACCATATGACCTGTCTTTGTAATACTCATTTGTGCTTTATTGTTATCTGTTTACAATAATGTTTTATCACTGATTACATCATTGCTTAGTTAATCTTAAGTTAATTTTAAGCCAGCCCATAATGCTCTGCATACAAGTGGCTTTGTACCTCTGTATGTATGTTCAGATTATTAAATAAATAAAATTAAATAAATTACACAACAGTTGTCTTACTTAGTAATGTGTGTAAATTACTTAGGATAAGTTACTATACTACTATTACTACTGCACTGCTACTACTACACTACTAGTACTAGTACTACTACTACAAGCCCTATAAAACTACTATACAACTACTACAACTACTACTACTACAGCAAAAGATATCCAGAGAAATAATGTAGTGCAATGCACAAGAACAGGGGAATGAAAAAACTACAATAGGCTTATTAATCCATGCTAGGCAGGTCCAACTCTCACCCATCTTCACACCCACTCATATACCTGTTCAACTTGTATTTAAAACTACACAGTGTTCTTGCCCAAATGATGCTATACCTGGATGTTTGTTCCACTCATCCACACCTTTAGGTACCACCTGTAAGAATATGCATGTATGCAATAAGATCGCAATAAACAGGTGATATGATATGCAAAATAACCACTGGGGAAAAAATAGTGATATATGCAAAGTAACCACTGGGGATATGATATGCAGAATAACCACTGGGGGGAAAAAAGTGAGAAAAAACAAAAGCACTTGGAAATTCACTGCTTTTTTTTCACAGTGGTCATTTTGCATATGTATGTATGCAATAAGATCCGAAAGGCTCATGCATTGCCTGAAATGTTCGTGCAGGCTAGTCGCTTTCTTTATGCTTAACAATATATTATTACTTATAACTACAGTTTATATACTACATACAAAAAAAATGATTTTTATTGTTATTTGTAAACAGGTGATGTCACAATATTCAAAGCAACCATTGAAAAAATAGTGAAATTCCAAGCACTTTTGTGACTATCACTTTATCATTATTTTCTTACAGTAGTTGTTTTGCATATGTAAGTAAGCAAGTAAAAAGGTGTTTACAGGAACAACTGGAAGCAAAGGAGAGAGAGTTGGAAGAGAGGGAAGCTCAGCACCAGGAGCTGGAGTATTCCCTCAGGGAGGAGGTGGAGAGACTCAGAGCCTGGAAGGTAAGTAGAAAACACATACTACTGGCCAATGTACATGGAAGCTCAGACTTTAAAGGTACTTACAGTGGATCATGTCAGGCTACATAGGAAAGGTGTCTTGTAACTCAATTGCTAGCACACTCAGCTCACACACTGAGGTCCATGGTTCAATCCCTGGTACGGGTGGAAACATTGGAATGTGTTTCTGCAAGACACCTGCTGTCCTTGTTCACCTAGCAGTAAATAGGGTTGGTTGGGGCTAGGAATAGTGTATTCGGGTAGGTGCCTGTGAGGTAGTCTGATGAACGGGTGTTTGAGCTTGGAATTTTGCTCACTAGATTCTTTCCCAGGTGTTAGCTGACTGATGTGGGTCGCATCCTGGGGACAAAACTGACCTAATTTGCCCTGAATGCTCTGCATAACAAGGGGCTTTCTGTATAGTATGTTACTGATGTCAGCAAGGCCTGTATAGGTTTTACACGTACTTGTAGAAATCAAGATTGTTGTTAGTATTGAAGTGGATAGACAGGTAGTTACAGCAAGTTCTTCCTGGCTAGTAGTGGACTGTGAAAAACAGGTGGGTACAGTAACATCAGTGGACAGACAGGTGAGTACAGTAGCTTCAGTAGCTAGATAGGTGGTTACAGAAGTTTCAGTGGGTCATACTACATGTACATAATTGGTTAGGATTGAGGCCTATCAGCTGCACGAGAGTTAGTAAAGGTGCATATCAGCTATACATCGGCAGTTAAAGATATAATACTTTAAATCCCTAAAATAAGAAAGTAAACTCACAGCAGTGGACCCCCGACTTACAATATTAATCCATTCCAGAGAGCACATCGTAAGACGAAATTATCGTAAGTCGAATTAATTTTCCCCATAAAAAAAAAATAATGGAAATCAAATTAATCCGTTCAAGACACCCGAAAGTATGAAAACAATTTTTTTTTACCACATGAAATATACATTTTCCTACACACAAAAAGAAGGATACATGCACAATATATATTGTGCATGTACTAGTGTACTAAATGAAAAATAAATGACACTTACCTTTATTGAAGATGTGGTGATGAGACACTGTGTCCTGGGAGTGCCTTTTCCTCCTGAGTAATGTAGGTCCTGTTTGGCATTTTCTTCCAGAACAGGCTTTATCGCACTGTGTATGCCACTACGATTCTCAAATCTCTCAAACCAACCTTTGCTGGCCTTAAATTCACCAATATGAGCACTAGTTCCAGGCATTTTTTCCTGTTCACCTGGGTGTTAGTTGACTGGTGTGGGTCGCATCCTGGGGGACAAGATTAAGGACCCCAATGGTGATAAGTTAGACAGTCCTCGATGACACACTGACTTTCTTGGGTTATCCTGGGTGGCTAACCCTCTGGGGTTAATTGTTTCTCGGTATTCTCGATAAGCCCATGGTGGCTTATTTAGCAGTTACAAGCACAAAAATCACTGGAATGATACAAAATTTATTGAATGTATGCATGCAACCATCTGCCCTGGCTTGTAAACAATGTCACACTAGCTCAGCTGAGGTGCTCAGGCCAGACGGACCAGACGGCTGCGTTTGGGACGAATGATGTAAGTCGAGTTTTTCAATGTAGGTTGGGGTCAAATTTTTACGCTGACAAGCATCGTAAGTCGGTTTTATCATAGGTTGAGGCCATCATAAGTCAGGGTCCACTGTACATATATACACTGAAAGGCACACACCTGGAGCAGATAACTTTCAGGTCTGGGATAGATAACAGGTGCATTATAGTTCCATCCCAGTCACACATAAGACTAGCCTATGGAAGGAGAGCTCATATTTAAGATGGATTAGATAGAATTAGATATTCTCTGATGTTGACAGTTTTAGATTACCCATCCTGCCAGTGTGGGTAATGCTGTACATCATGTAATGTGTGTCTTCTGAAACCTAGGATGAACCTTAAACTCACTGTATTTAGTCAAAGCTAGCTCACTTAATAAAAATACTATATTTATGAGAAACTTTAAACCCTTAGGAGTCATAAAGCACTTGGGAAATGAAAGGCATTCTGGTTCGATCCAATGAAAATGAGGATAAGTCCAGTTTCTTGGATCAAGAGCCCCTCACTGGCATTAAGGTGCCTTCCTTTAAGGGCCAAGAAAGGAAAGGGTAGCTCCAGTTCCTTTGATCAAGAACCCTTTGCCAATAGCAGGCACCTTCCTACCTTTCCCTGTGAAAGGTAAACTAGTGCATCTGTAAATACTATTAATGTTCTCAAATATTTTCTCATATATCTCATGATAAGGCTAAGCAAAAAAAAAAAATCCATACAATGTTTGTGGCTAGATTTTCGTATACGTATATACTTTTATTCACTTATAAAACAAACAATGGAAACTTTAGCAAATGAATTTGAAAAAACCTTCCTCTCAGATGTCCCATTGTTTCTAAGGTATTAAATCATTAAAATAAGGTTTATAAAATGAATTTTAGTGCTGAGGATTTAAAGTTATTGATGTGTTGCAGACACAACAGCAGGAACAAGTTCACGTCCGGGAGAAGCTCATCAGTGACCTTAATAAGAACGTGGAAGAAAAGTCCATCACAATTAAAGACTATGAGAGGCTCATCTCTTCACTGCAGGTATACTGAATCTTTTGATGACTTTCACTGCAGGTACATGTATAGTGAATCTTATGATAACTTTCACTGCAGATATAGAGAATCTTATGATCACCAATGAGAATGACCATTGCTTGGTGAAAAAAGACACAGTTACACAGCAAACTTTCACTGTGGCAAGTTTTGCTTTATGTAGAGCTTTATCAGTTCACTTGATATGATGAGGCACTATAGAGAGAAAAACATTGTTACCTGTTGTCTGTTTCTTTTCTTTGCTACCGTTGGCAGTATGCTACTGTATCGATAACCTTTACTTATTTGAATGTATACTCAGAAATTTCTGCAATAGCAAAATTATATTCTGTATATACAGTGTGGAAAAAGATACGTACAGTTCAGGACATATATGAGAGGAAACATTTTGCCATGCCATGCCATGTGTAGCTTGTTCATTCTTCCACTCGTGGCAAAACATTTTCTCTAATATATGTCCTGAACTGTACATAAATGTCTTCTTTCACATCTTTTCAGCACCACCATACCATTTTTCTGTACATATATACAGCATTACCCAAGTATGTATAATTTTCCCTGCATGCGATGGTGGCAGACAAGGCACAAGCAGCAGGTGGAGGAGCTAAGCAACAAACTTGAGGCTGAGAGGCAAGAGAGAGAGAAGGAGAGGGAGGTCGGAGACTGTGAGATAGCCCTCCTGACCAAACAACTGGAGAAGGCACACCAGGAGCTGCGGAAGAGCACCGCCACAACCCAACACAGCAGAGGTCGCTCTGGATCCTACAAGAGGGATGAGAGAGATTCCTCGGTAAGACTTCAGTGTCCTTCAGAGTATAAGCCTTAGCAGGGACTGTATGGGTACATTATGTTATCTATTTATGCACTGTCAAAAAAATTCTGTGTACTATATTTAAAAAAATTATCCATGCACTGTAATATTATTAGTTTATTTATGATGAAATTTTAAATCAATAAGTATTGTTGTGTCTGGGGAATAGGAGCTAATCAGGTTTAATCCAAGGAAAGGGAAGTTAGCTCTAGTTTCTTTGATGAAGAATCCTTCACTATCAAGTTAATCCTTTGACAGTAGGCTTCAATATGATTCTATGACATCTGACTGCAGGGTTCATTAGTTATGCTGTTAAATATTAATACAGATTTTTAGTATATGAACCATCGTAATTTTAGTGCATCAAAGTGTGATGAACACTGGTTAATGGGACAGAAAAACCTACGTGGAGACAGAAATAAGGAAGAATGATTGTCTGTATATTTTGACCTTCAACTGAGAACCTCTTCTGGTGAAGAGGACCTGAACCGGAGGTCGAAATGAACAAACAACCATTCTTCCTTGTTTTTGTCTCCATGTGGGTTTTTCTTTCCCATAGTCTTAGTCTCTTGCAGACATTCAGGGAACTAATCAGTTTAGCCTCAAAGTTGTATAACAGCAATATTATACTCATAAGTGATAAACCCAGTATAATAATGAAGTGACACAGCATTGCCTATTGATCAAATATAGAGATCAGATCATATGTAGAGGTGTTATCAGTGTTATTATTGAGTCAGATTATAGTGTAGTTGGTTGTTAGTCTTCACTATGAATTGCTGCCAGTGACTATGTCATTCAGAAAAGAGAAGCTACATATCCTCTTTTAGAGCATGAGTTTCTTAGTTTGACAACATCATTCATTCTATTATCCCCATAGTACTGTAGTCTGTACTCAAAAGATTACAAAAGAACACGTATAATAGGGGTCGCGAAATCTTAATAATACAGTTGCAAACAAACCATGAAACGGGTGGGGTTTTGAACCCATGGGTTCAAGCCCCACCTGCTCCATGGTTTGATGTATATAATAGGGTACAGGTCTTGGTTCCAACATTTACCTGGTTAGGTAACTTATGCTAATAAAAACTTTACAAAATTGATTCAGTATTAAATAGCAGTGAGTTAAGTTAGTTACATGATGAATTCAGCCACATAAACATTACAATGAAGCATATTATTCAGCTACATAAACATTACAGTGAAGCATATTATTCAGCCACATAAACATTACAATGAAGCATATTATTCAGCCACATAAACATTACAATGAAACATATTATTCAGCCACATAAACATTACAATGAAGCATATTATTCAGCCACATAAACATTACAGTGAAGCATATTATTCAGCCACATAAACATTACAATGAAGCATATTATTCAGCCACATAAACATTACAGTGAAGCATATTATTCAGCCACATAAACATTACAATGAAGCATATTATTCAGCCACATAAACATTACAGTGAAGCATATTATTCAGCCACATAAACATTACAATGAAGCATATTATTCAGCCATATAAACATTACAGTGAAGCATATTATTCAGTCACATAAGCATTACGATGAGGCATATTATTCAGAACATAAACACTACAGTGAAGTATATTTTTCAGTCATGTAAACATTACAATGAAGATTAATAAGTGTTCTAGGAAGGCACTGATCTGAGAGACTGAGAAAGGTGCTCCATTAAGATATTTACATTGGACATGAGTTATATACATTAGGCATACTAGTATATTACCAGAGTTTCTGGTAATATACTAACTACTGTTAGGGAAACATTCACTCAAGGAATTTTTCAAAGAGTATATTACAGTATATACCAAAATAAATCAAAGTAATGATAAGGTAGAAAGATAATGTATCATTTTAAAGATACTCCCTTATCTCAAGTGTTGAAAACTTCTGAACCATGTTTAGGGAAACATACCATTCTTGTTTAGGAAAACTTCCTGTCTTTTGTGGATACGTACTTATTCTTCGCATTCGGAGAAACATATTGATATATCCTTATTTAGGGAAACTTCATCATGTTTTAAGGAAACATCCTTTTTTTTTTTTTTTTTTTTTTTGGAAATATCCTCTTCCTCATAGAAACTCGTTTTCTTTTAGTGGAAAGTTAAGGCATCTTATCTTTCTCATCTTATCTCTTGGAAATTGACATTTGTCCTCATCTCTATGCCTTGTCTTCATTTTCCTCTTTCTCTGTTTGAGTTGACCTTCTGTTTTTTTTTTTTTTTTATTCAGCAAGTGGCCTCCCTGTCTGGCCTCCCCAACCTGGGCAACACCTGCTACATAAATTCTATCATCCAGTGTCTCTATAGCATAAACACCCTGAGAGATTACTTAACCACGACGAATTCAGGTGAGAACATACAGCTAAGGACACTTTGTACAGGTGAGGCATGTGTGCAGCTGAGATTGTTGTATGCAGTGGGAGAGTACTTCAGTCATGATTCATACAAATATGATTAATTTATGCAGGGGAGATGAAGTGTTCTTTATTAGTGACCTGTGGAAAAAAACCCAGGATCACACAAAAAAAAGAATAAAAAGGCACAATACTGTGACCAACACAGTACATAGATTACCCGCACATAGGAGAGAGAGAAGCTTATGACGATGTTTTGGTTCCACTTGGCTCAAGTCGGTCCATAATGCTGTCATCGGCTTCTCTTTCCTGTGTGTGGGATATTTGTACATTCAAAAAAAAAAAAAAACAAGCTTATTTCCATTGGGATTATTTTGAAGTCTTTTTACCAAGATGCATCCCACAACAGTTGGCTAAACTCTAGGTATCCCTTTACTGCTAGGTATCAGATATCAGGTGTTGAGGTAACTCGTCCATAATTTATACACGTGAGGTTAATTTATTTTATTCATGATTCAGACTGGTGAGAATATTTCTTATATAATTCATAGGTGAGAACACTTGATGTTGACTCATGATAAAATGCAATTTAACATGACCAAGATGTGTAAATATCGCGTACAGGTAAGAATAGTTAATGCATGACTCACACAAGTTAAAATGCTTCATACAAGACTCGGATGGTAACATTCAGATTTAAAATACAAAAAATTATTTCCACATGATGCATTGTACAGAAATGGGTGACACTATATTATGCATGCAGAAAGCCATTGGTTATGCAGAGCATTTTGAGCAAGCTTAAGCCATTGCAGCAGGTACTGTGGTTAGAATAATCAACGTTGGGATATGCTGAGAATAGGGACAGAGGTCAAGAACTGATGAATAGCAATAACAGTAAAGACACTGATTTTTTTTTAATGACCCAGCCATATCCCACCTAGGCAGGGTTACCTAAAAAGGAAAACAAACGTTTCTCTTTTTAAGTTCAGTAATGTGTATAGGAGAAGGGGTCGCTAGCCGCTTGCTCCTGGCATTTTAGTCACCTCTTACAACACACGTGACTTATGGAAGAAGAATTCTGTTCCACTTCCCCATAGAGATAAGAGGAAATAAACAAGAACAAGAACTAGTAAGAAAATAGAATAAAACCCAGAGGGGTGTGTGTATATATATGCTTGTACATGCATGTGTATATAAGAAGAGCAGAGTATATGGAGAGGAAAAGAAAGGTGAAGAGAGTGGTGAGAGAGTGCAAAAGGAGAGCAGATGATAGAGTGGGAAAGGCAGTCAAAAAAATTTAATGAAAATAAGAAAAAATTTTGGAGTTAAACAAGTTAAGAAAGCCTATGGAAGGTATGGATTTGTCAGTTAAAAACAGAGTAGGGGAGTTAGTAGATGGGGAGATGGAGGTATTAGGTAGATGGCGAGAATATTTTGAGGAACTTTTAAATGTTAAGGAAGAAAGGGAGGCGGTAATTTTCATGCACTGGTCAGGGAGGTATACCATCTTTTAGGAGTGAAGAAGAGCAGAATGTAAGTGTGGGGGAGGTACGTGAGGCATTACGTAGAATGAAAGGGGGTAAAGCAGCTGGAACTGATGGGATCATGACAGAAATGTTAAAAGCAGGGGGGGATATAGTGTTGGAGTGGTTGGTATTTTTGTTTAATAAATGTATGAAAGAGGGGAAGGTACCTAGGGATTGGCAGAGAGCATGTATAGTCCCTTTATGTAAAGGGAAAGGGGACAAAAGAGATTGTAAAAATTATAGAGGAATAAGTTTACTGAGTATACCAGGAAGTGTATGGTAGGGTTATAATTGAAAGAATAAGAGGTAAGACAGAATGTAGGATTGCAGATGAGCAAGGAGGTTTCAGAGTGGTTAGGGGATGTGTAGATCAAGTGTTTACATTGAAGCATATATGTGAACAGTATTAGATAAAGGTAGGGAAGTTTTTATTGCATTTATGGATTTAGAAAAGGCATATGATAGAGTGGATAGAGAAGCAATGTGGCAGATGTTGCAAATATATGGAATAGGTGGTAAGTTACTAAATGCTGTAAAGAGTTTTTATGAGGATAGTGAGGCTCAGGGTGTGTAGAAGAGAGGGAGACTATTTCCTGGTAAAAGTAGGTCTTAGACAGGGATGTGTAATGTCACCATGGTTGTTTAATATATTTATAGATGGGGTTGTAAAAGAAGTAAATGCTAGGGTGTTCGGGAGAGGGGTGGGATTAAATTATGGGGAATCAAATTCAAAATGGGAATTGACACAGTTACTTTTTCCTGATGATACTGTGCTTATTGGAGATTCTAAAGTGGTTAGTGGATGAGTTTGGGAATGTGTGTAAAGGTAGAAAGTTGAAAGTGAACATAGAAAAGAGTAAGGTGATGAGGGTATCAAATGATTTAGATAAAGAAAAATTGGATATCAAATTGGGGAGGAGGAGTATGGAAGAAGTGAATGTTTTCAGATACTTGGGAGTTGACGTGTCGGCGGATGGATTTATGAAGGATGAGGTTAACCATAGAATTGATGAGGGAAAAAAGGTGAGTGGTGCGTTGAGGTATATGTAGAGTCAAAAAACGTTATCTATGGAGGCAAAGAAGGGAATGTATGAAAGTATAGTAGTACCAACACTCTTATATGGATGTGAAGCTTGGGTGGTAAATGCAGCAGCGAGGAGACGGTTGGAGGCAGTGGAGATGTCCTGTCTAAGGGCAATGTGTGGTGTAAATATTATGCAGAAAATTTGGAGTGTGGAAATTAGGAAAAGGTGTGGAGTTAATAAAAGTATTAGTCAGACGGCAGAAGAGGGGTTGTTGAGGTGGTTTGGTCATTTAGAGAGAATGGATCAAAGTAGAATGACATGGAAAGCATATAAATCTATAGGGGAAGGAAGGCGGGGTAGGGGTCGTCCTCGAAAGGGTTGGAGAGAGGGGGTAAAGGAGGTTTTGTGGGCAAGGGGCTTGGACTTCCAGCAAGCGTGCGTGAGCGTGTTAGATAGGAGTGAATGGAGACGAATGGTACTTGGGACCTGACGATCTGTTGGAGTGTGAGCAGGGTAATATTTAGTAGGTTGGTAGACAGCAACCATCCAGGGAAGTACTACCATCCTGGCAGATGACTGTGAAACAAAAACCTGTAACTGTTTTGCATGATGGTAGGATTGCTGGTTTCTTTTTCTGTCTCATAAACACGCTAGATAACAGGGATATCTTGCTACTCCTACTTACATTTTGGTCACACTTCACAGACACGCACATGCATATATATATACATACATCTAGGTTTTTCTCCTTTTTCTAAATAGCTCTTGTTCTTCTTTATTTCTTCTATTGTCCATGGGAAAGTGGAAAAGAATCTTTCCTCCGTAAGCCATGCGTGTCGTATGAGGCGACTAAAATGCCGGGAGCAATGGGCTAGTAACCCCTTCTCCTGTAGACATTTACTAAAAAAGAGAAGAAGAAAAACTTTATAAAACTGGGATGCTTAAATGTGCGTGGATGTAGTGCGGATGACAAGAAACAGATGATTGCTGATGTTATGAATGAAAAGAAGTTGGATGTCCTGGCCCTAAGCGAAACAAATCTGAAGGGGGTAGGAGAGTTTCAGTGGGGGGAAATAAATAGGATTAAATCTGGAGTATCTGAGAGAGTTAGAGCAAAGGAAGGGGTAGCAGTAATGTTAAATGATCAGTTATGGAAGGAGAAAAGAGAATATGAATGTGTAAATTCAAGAATTATGTGGATTAAAGTAAAGGTTGGATGCGAGAAGTGGGTCATAATAAGCGTGTATGCACCTGGAGAAGAGAGGAATGCAGAGGAGAGAGAGATTTTGGGAGATGTTAAGTGAATGTATAGGAGCCTTTGAACCAAGTGAGAGAGTAATTGTGGTAGGGGACCTGAATGCTAAAGTAGGAGAAACTTTTAGAGAGGGTGTGATAGGTAAGTTTGGGGTGCCAGTGTAAATGATAATGGGAGCCCTTTGATTGAACTTTGTATAGAAAGGGGTTTAGTTATAGGTAATACATATTTTAAGAAAAAGAGGATAAATAAGTATACAAGATATGATGTAGGGCGAAATGACAGTAGTTTGTTGGATTATGTATTGGTGGATAAAAGACTGTTGAGTAGACTTCAGGATGTACATGTTTATAGAGGGGCCACAGATATATCAGATCACTTTCTAGTTGTAGCTACACTGAGAGTAAAAGGTAGATGGGATACAAGGAGAATAGAAGCATCAGGGAAGAGAGAGGTGATGGTTTATAAACTAAAAGAGGAGGCAGTTAGGGTAATTATAAACAGCTATTGGAGGATAGATGGGCTAATGAGAGCATAGGCAATGGGGTCGAAGAGGTATGGGGTAGGTTTAAAAATGTAGTGTTAGAGTGTTCAGCAGAAGTTTGTGGTTACAGGAAAGTGGGTGCAGGAGGGAAGAGGAGTGATTGGTGGAATGATGATGTAAAGAGAGTAGTAAGGGAGAAAAAGTTAGCATATGAGAAGTTTTTACAAAGTAGAAGTGATGCAAGGAGGGAAGAGTATATGGAGAAAAAGAGAGAGGTTAAGAGAGTGGTGAAGCAATGTAAAAAGAGAGCAAATGAGAGAGTGGGTGAGATGTTATCAACAAATTTTGTTGAAAATAAGAAAAAGTTTTGGAGTGAGATTAACAAGTTAAGAAAGCCTAGAGAACAAATGGATTTGTCAGTTAAAAATAGGAGAGGAGAGTTATTAAATGGAGAGTTAGAGGTATTGGGAAGATGGAGGGAATATTTTGAGGAATTGTTAAATGTTGATGAAGATAGGGAAGCTGTGATTTCGTGTATAGGGCAAGGAGGAATAACATCTTGTAGGAGTGAGGAAGAGCCAGTTGTGAGTGTGGGGGAAGTTCGTGAGGCAGTAGGTAAAATGAAAGGGGGTAAGGCAGCCGGGATTGATGGGATAAAGATAGAAATGTTAAAAGCAGGTGGGGATATAGTTTTGGAGTGGTTGGTGCAATTATTTAATAAATGTATGGAAGAGGGTAAGGTACCTAGGGATTGGCAGAGAGCATGCATAGTTCCTTTGTATAAAGGCAAAGGGGATAAAAGAGAGTGCAAAAATTATAGGGGGATAAGTCTGTTGAGTATACCTGGTAAAGTGTATGGTAGAGTTATAATTGAAAGAATTAAGAGTAAGACAGAGAATAGGATAGCAGATGAACAAGGAGGCTTTAGGAAAGGTAGGGGTGTGTGGACCAGGTGTTTACAGTGAAACATATAAGTGAACAGTATTTAGATAAGGCTAAAGAGGTCTTTGTGGCATTTATGGATTTGGAAAAGGCGTATGACAGGGTGGATAGGGGGGCAATGTGGCAGATATTGCAAGTGTATGGTGTAGGAGGTAGGTTACTGAAAGCAGTGAAGAGTTTTTACGAGGATAGTGAGGCTCAAGTTAGAGTATGTAGGAAAGAGGGAAATTTTTTCCCAGTAAAAGTAGGCCTTAGACAAGGATGTGTGATGTCACCGTGGTTGTTTAATATATTTGTGGATGGGGTTGTAAGAGAAGTAAATGCGAGGGTCTTGGCAAGAGGCGTGGAGTTAAAAGATAAAGAATCACACACAAAGTGGGAGTTGTCACAGCTGCTCTTTGCTGATGACACTGTGCTCTTGGGAGATCGTGAAGAGAAGTTGCAGAGATTGGTGGATGAATTTGGTAGGGTGTGCAAAAGAAGAAAATTAAAGGTGAATACAGGAAAGAGTAAGGTTATGAGGATAACAAAAAGATTAGGTCATGAAAGATTGGATATCAGATTGGAGGGAGAGAGTATGGAGGAGGTGAACGTATTCAGATATTTAGGAGTGGACGTGTCAGCGGATGGGTCTATGAAAGATGAGGTGAATCATAGAATTGATGAGGGAAAAAGAGTGAGTGGTGCACTTAGGAGTCTGTGGAGACAAAGAACTTTGTCCTTGGAGGCAAAGAGGGGAATGTATGAGAGTATAGTTTTACCAACGCTCTTATATGGGTGTGAAGCATGGGTGATGAATGTTGCAGCGAGGAGAAGGCTGGAGGCAGTGGAGATGTCATGTCTGAGGACAATGTGTGGTGTGAATATAATGCAGAGAATTCGTAGTTTGGAAGTTAGGAGGAGGTGCGGGATTACCAAAACTGTTGTCCAGAGGGCTGAGGAAGGGTTGTTGAGGTGGTTCGGACATGTAGAGAGAATGGAGCGAAACAGAATGACTTCAAGAGTGTATCAGTCTGTAGTGGAAGGAAGGCGGGGTAGGGGTCGGCCTAGGAAAGGTTGGAGGGAGGGGGTAAAGGAGGTTTTGTGTGCGAGGGGCTTGGACTTCCAGCAGGCATGCGTGAGCGTGTTTGATAGGAGTGAATGGAGACAAATGGTTTTTAATACTTGACGTGCTGTTGGAGTGTGAGCAAAGTAACATTTATGAAGGGATTCAGGGAAACCGGCAGGCCGGACTTGAGTCCTGGAGATGGGAAGTACAGTGCCTGCACTCTGAAGGAGGGGTGTTAATGTTGCAGTTTAAAAACTGTAGTGTAAAGCACCCTTCTGGCAAGACAGTGATGGAGTGAATAATGGTGAAAGTTTTTCTTTTTCGGGCCACCCTGCCTTGGTGGGAATCGGCCAGTGTGATAATAAAAATAAATAATTCAGGGAAACCGGTTATTTTCATATAGTCGGACTTGAGTCCTGGAAATGGGAAGTACAATGCCTGCACTTTAAAGAAGGGGTTTGGGATATTGGCAGTTTGGAGGGATATGTTGTGTATCTTTATACATATATGCTTCTAAACTGTTGTATTCTGAGCACCTCTGCAAAAACAGTGATAATGTGTGAGTGTGGTGAAAGTGTTGAATGATGATGAAAGTATTTTCTTTTTGGGGATTTTCTTTCTTTTTTGGGTCACCCTGCCTCGGTGGGAGACGGCCGACTTTTTGAAAAAAAAAAATGCATGTGTAATGTGACCTAAGTAGAAGTAGCAAGGTGTACCTGAAACCTTGCATATTTATAAAATAGAAAAAAAAGCAGCAGTCCTACTATCATGTAAAACAGTTACAGGTTTCCATTATACATTCAATTGGCAGGATGGTAGTACTCCCTGGGTGATTGCTATCTACCAGCCTACTTCCTAGATAAAGATACTGATTCTTCTTTCAACAAACTGGTTGTATCCCACCGAGGCAGGGTGGCCCAAAAAGAAAAAAGGAAGTTTCTCTTTTTAACCTTAGCATACAATCGGAACATTTGTATTATTACAGCGTTTTTGGTGATTTCATCTGCAAAATAAGTGACCATGGGCCCCAAGAAAGCTTCTAGTGCTAACCCTGTGGTAAAAAGGGTGAGAAATACTATCATTCCACAGTCAGCTGCTGCTGCACCACAATCAGCTGTTGCTGGACCAGTCAGCTGTTGCTGGATCAGTCAGTTGCTGCTGCACCACGATCAGCTGTTGCTGGACCAGTCAGCTGTTGCTGTATCAGTCAGCTGCTGCTGCACCACGATCAGCTGTTGCTGGACCAGTCAGCTGTTGCTGGATCAGTCAGCTGCTGCTGCACCACGATCAGCTGTTGCTGGACCAGTCAGCTGTTGCTGGACCAGTCAGCTGTTGCTGGATCAGTCAGCTGCTGCTGTACCACGATCAGCTGTTGCTGGACCAGTCAGCTGCTGCTGTACCACAATCAGCTGTTGCTGGACCTGTCAGCTGTTGCTGGATCAGTCAGCTGCTGCTGGACCACGATCAGCTGTTGCTGGATCAGTCAGCTGTTGCTGGATCAGTCAGCTGCTGCTGCAGTGCATTCAGCTGTTGCTGGACCAGTCAGCTGTTGCTGGATCAGTCAGCTGTTGCTGGACCAGTCAGCTGTTGCTGGATCAGTCAGCTGTTGCTGGTCAGCTGTTGCTGGATCAGTCAGCTGTTGCTGGACCAGTCAGCTGTTTCTAAACATGACTCGTCCCGAACCTGTCCGTCCAGCCTGAGCGCCTGCCTTGCCATCATTGTTCACAAGCCAGGGTGGCCGGTTGCATTCATACATTCGATACATTTTGTATTATTCCATTATTTATAGTGCTTGTAACTGCTAAATAAGCCACCATGGGCCCAAAGAAAGCTTCTAGTGCCAACCCTGTGGTAAAAAGGGTGATAAATACTATCGTACCACAGTCAGCTGCTGCTGCACCATGGTCAGCTGTTATTGGACCAGTCAGCTGTTGCTGCACCACAGCTGCTGCTGCACCCATGTGGTCAGCTGTTGCTGGCACCATGGTCAGCTGTTGCTGCACCATGGTCACTGTTGCTGCAACCACAGCTGCTGCTGCAACATGGTCAGCTGTTGCTGCACCACAGCTGCTGCTGCACCATGGTCAGCTGTTGTTGCACCACAGCTGCTGCTGCACCGTGGTCAGCTGTTGCACCACAGTCAGCTGTTGTTGTTGCTGCACCACCATCAGCTGTATTACTCGAAGATGTGGAGAGAGTGTTGTTGGTGTGGGTTAACGTGAAACAATTACCGAGAAACGATTAACACCGGAGGGTTAGCCACCCAGGATAACCCAAGAAAGTCAGTGCGTCATCGAGGACTGTCGAACTTATTTCCATTGGGGTCCTTAATCTTGTCCCCCAGGATGCGACCCACAACAGTTGACTAACACCCAGGTGAACAGGAAAAAATGCCCTGGAACTAGTGCTCATTGGTGAGGTTAGTGGGGAGGATGTGGAAGAGTTGGTGGAGGAGGACAATGAAGAACTAACCACTGATTAGCTGCTAGATCATCTTCAACAGTAAGAGGCCACACCTGAGGAAACTGCTCCGGAGGAGGGGATAGAGAAATTGAAGTTGCCTACTTCAAAGATTAAGGAAATGTGTCCAATGTGACTTAAAGTGCAAAACTTTTTTGATGAAAATCACCCTCACACAGCTATTGCAAGCCGTGCTGGTGACTATTACAATGACAATGTTGTGAAACACTTTAGGAAAGTCATAAAAGAACGGGAGGTACAGGCCTCCATGGACAGATATGTTGTGCGACAGAGGTCCAGTGACTCTGAAGCTGGTCCTAGTGGCATTAAAAGAAGAAGGGAAGTAACCCCAGAAAAGGACTTGACACCTCAAGTCCTAATGGAAGGGGATTCCCCTTCTAAACACTAAGCCCATCAAAAACTCTCCCCTTCCTCCCATCCATCAAATCTCACCAAATCTTCAATAAAGGTAAGTGTCATGTAACTGTGCATGTCTTCTTCAGTTTTTGTCCATTAAAATTAATATTTCATGTGGTAAAAAATTTTTTTTTCATACTTTTGGGTGTCTTGCACGGATTAATTTGATTTCCATTATTTCTTATGGGGAAAATTAATTCGCATAACGATAATTTCGCATAACATTGAGCTCTCAGGAACGGATTAATAGCGCTATGCAAGGGTCCACTGTATATACAGAAGGGGTTACTAACCCCTTTCTCTCAGCATTTTAGTTGCCTCTTACGATATACATGGCTTACGGAGGAAGAATTCTGTTCCACTTCCCCATGGAGTAAGGAAAAATAGAAAAGCCAGAGGGATGTGTGTATATATATGCTTTCATGCATGTGCAGTGTGACCAAAGTGTAAGTAAAAGTAACAAGACATACCTGAAACCATGCATGTTTATGAGACAGAAAAAAGACACCAGCAATCCTAACATTCATGTAAAACAATTAAAGGTTTCTGTTATACACTCACTTGGCAGAACAGTAGTACAGTACCTCCCTTGGTGATTGCTGTCTACCAACCTACTTCCTAGATAAAGATACTAATATGTCCAACTAATTTTCATCCACCAGGAAATACATCAATTCCAAGAGTGAACAAAAAGGGAAGGTGGTCCTTGCAGTAGCTCAAGTCTTTAAAGCTCTTTCTTCTGGTGCAGTGAAGGATATCTTCAAGAAGATCAATAGCCTGAAGGTAAGGGCAAAACATAATCATGCCGTTTAAAGAATAAATTGGACTAGTTTAATACTGGTATGTGCTTATGTGGTGAGTTCAGAATGGTTTGTTCAAATATTGGCTAAGATTGAAGAGTAAAAAGGCACAATACTGTGATTGGAACAGTACACAAAGAACCTGCACAGAGGAGAAAGAAGCTTATGATGACACTTTGACTCAACGTGGACCATTAACAATCCAAGTCAGATTGAAACATCGTCATAAGTATCTTTCTCCTGTGTGTGGGTTATTTATATTGACTATGCTGTCCATAGGTAGAGGTCATGAGTTTTTATTTTACTTGTTTGTAAATGTGCTAACTTATACACTAGCCATAAGATATCCAGATGAGTAATTTTGACCCATTGTAACATCACACAGAATGTTATTGAGGACCTAGACGAGGAATTTCGAGGGTCACATCAGCATGATGCTCATGACCTCCTGGCCGGCCTCCTGACCTGGCTACACAATGACCTTGTGAAAGTGAGTATTTTACATTATCTTAAATGTATAATTCAAATTCAAAAATTCAAAAATTTATTCTCTATAAGGATTACAATGCTGAGTTTACAGAATTTGGTTATTGTGTGGTTAACATGTAGTAAAATAATAATTACAGAGTGTACCACTAGAACACCTAGCATGGCTAGGCATTTCGGGCAGACTTAGATTAAATCTTTAGTTTAAAATATTACAAAATTATGAGGAAAGTTGGTATTATGGCTAAGTGACTAAATACTAGTTTGTGAGTTTAGCAATGTGAATGCTTTTGTTTTGGCACTATACATAGTTCAGTATTGGAGTATCACAGGCCAACTTATGACTAGTTAAGATTCATTATTTTGAGATTGAGATTGATATTTCTGTTTATGGTCAAATGGGCGAGTGAGTGTAAGTGTTAACCACCAGGTGGTATTCGTGTAATTAGTTGACAGGGTGTATCAGGGAGATAATATGTTTTCTGATGGTAGTTTTGAAGGTGATGAATGTGTCTGCAGTTTTAGAATTTTCAGGTAGGGTGTTCCAGATTTTAGGGCCTTTGACACACATTGAATTTTTGTAAAGGTTTAGTCGGACACGGGGAATGTCATAGAGATGTTTGTGTCTGGTGTTGTGCCTGTGGGTTCTGTCGCAACTATCAAGAAAGCGTTTTAGGTAAGGTTAATATTGGAATTTAAGGTCCTGTAGATGTAGATTGCACAGTAGTAAGTGTGGATGTACTGAACAGGGAGTAAGTTTAGATCTATGAAGAGTGGGGGGGGTGTGTTGCTAGGGATGGGATTTAGTGATTATTCTTACTGCGGCTTTTTGTTGGGTTATTATTGGCTTTAGGTGTGTTGCTGCAGTTGAACCCCATATATATATATAATATAATAAGGGAGAGTGAAGCATTCACCAGACTTGCAAGCTGACAAGGTACTTTGTTGTAGTGTACTTCATTCAAAGAGTGGTGTAGGCTTGGTCCTCTGTCCATGTGGGTCATTTAGTGCAAGGAGTGGTGGAGGCTCGATCCTCCATCCACTAATTATGACCAAGTCTGAGATCAGCTAAGCTGCTAGTGACAAGGCAGTTAATGGGGTTAAATGCCTATCAACTACACAAGGGTCATTAAGACTGCTTGTAACCTGTTCACCACCAGTCAAGAATACTTTCATCTCTAAAACAGGGATTAAAGCAAACTCTCGGTGTATATACACTGAGAGACATACACCTCTTGGTGTACATGATGTCTTTGTTGTGTGTTCCCCCATCTTTCAAGGGGTGAGGGAGAGATTCCTCGATGCTGGAGGTGGAGCTATCCTCCCTTTCCTCATAATAATACAACTGCAGGTGTACTTTTGGAAGATGATTTCTTTTTGCACTAATTTTGTCTCACAGCTGAATGACTCATCCTCCATCATCTCCAAGTTATTCAACATTGAGCATGAGTCAGTAATCACCTGTGACAAGAATAAACAGGTGATCTGCTGTACCAAGGAAGTCTTCAGCAACCTGACACTCTCCGTCAGCGAGGGCAATGCCCAGCTACTCCAGGTGAGGTCACCGTGATTCCAGGTGAGGTCACCGTGGCTCCAGGTGAGGTCACCGTGGCTCCAGGTGAATCACCGTGGCTCCAGGTGAATCACCGTGGCTCCAGATGAGGTCACCGTGGCTCCAGGTGAGGTCACCGTGGCTCCAGGTGAGGTCACCGTGGCTCCAGGTGAGGTCACTGTGGCTCCAGGTGACATCACTGTGGCTCCAGGTGAGGTCACCATGGCTCACGTAATAATGATGATAATATATTTATTTTCTACAGTATATGTTCAGGTAACATGGTTTACACTTAATAAAATATTGTCAGGCACAAAAAATAACTACTGACAAGCAGTGCATTTTGGGCAGACAAATCTTAATGCTCAAAGACTACTGAAGAAGTAGACATAGGTTATAAAGTACTGTAGGAGTTTTTTAATGTAAAAAAAATGAAAGATGCTGGGAGCAAGGGGTTAGTAACCCCTTATCCTGTATACATTACTGAATTTAAAAGGAGAAATTTTCGTTTTTCCTTTTGGGCCACCCCACCTCGGTGGGATATGGCTGGTACGTTGAAAAAAAAAATGAAAGGTGGCTAAATAACCAATAATAAAATTTAGGTACGTATTAATACTTCAAATTGATTCACTGATCTTTAGTTAAGTGGGAGTTCTTAAGGAGTTATTAAGAAGGTGATGAGCAAGACAGGTGCAACATATAGGTATATATATTGTCAGAATGTTTCATCTGCACAGCAGGCTTCTATAGTCAAATACACAGATGATTTTAATACTGGAGATGATGAAATAAGTGTAGAGGTAATATTAAGACTGGGGGACTGAATGCCTTATGACTCCCTCTCAAATTTTTCCTCTGTCTTCCTTATGAAAATCAAATTTATGTTCGACTGAAGAAGCCTGCTGTACAGGCGAAGTGTTTTGGCAGTGAAGATACGCAGTTGTTGCATTTGTGTGTTATTCATCTTTTTATTTTTATTTTAATAATTTTTAAGATTTATTGCTACAAGTACTAGCCATGGAATAATCACCTGATGCTGGTCTTGGTTGCTTAGTTGAGTTTAAACCTTATTGACTACTCAAAGGGTCATTAATCATTAAGGCTTCATGTCACCTGTACACCAGCACTCAAGAATACTTTAATACCCAAAAAAAAAAGGATGGGGGGGATTAAGTCAGCATATATACACAGTGAGGCTCAGGTTAGGGTGTATAGGAGAGAGAGGGAGATTACTTCCTAGTAAAAGTAGGTCTTAGACAGGGCTATGTAATGTCACCATGGTTGTTTAACATATACTGTAGATGGAGTTGTAAAAGAAGTATATGCTAGGGTGTTGGGGAGAAGGGTGGGATTAAATTATGGGGAATCAAATACAAAATGGGAGTTGACACAGTTACTTTTTGCTGATGATACTGTGTTTTTGGGGATTCTAAAGAAAAGTTGCAAAGGTTAGTGGACGAGTTTGGGAGGGTGTGTAAAGGTAAAAAGTTGAAAGTGAGCATAGATAAGAGTAAGGTGATGAGGGGTATCAAACTATTTAGATAAAAAAAATTGGATATAACATTGGAGGGAGGGAGTATGGAAGAAATGAATGTTTTCAGATATTTGGGAGTTGACTTGTCAGTGGATGGGTTTATGAAGGATGGGGTTAACCATAGAATTGATGAAGAAAAAAAGGCAAGTGGTGTGTTGAGGTATATGTGGAGACAAAAAACATTATCCATGGAGGCAAAGAAGAGAATGTACAAGAGTGTAGTGGTACCAACGCACTTATATGAGTGTAACGCATGGGTTGTAAATTCTGCAGTGAGGAGACAGCTGGGGGCAGTGGAGATGTCCTGTCTGAGAGCTATGTGTGGTGTAAATATTATTCAGAAAATTCAGAGTGTGGAAATTAGGAGGTGTGGAGTTAATAAAAGTATTAGTCAGAGGACTGAAGAAGGGTTGTTGAGGTGGTTTGGTCATTTAGAGGGAATGGAACAAAGTAGAATGACTTGGAGAGCGTATAAATCTGTAGGGTAAGGAAGGCAGGGTAGGGCCCTCCTTGAAAAGGTTGGAGGGAGGGAGTAAAGAAGGTTTTGTGGGAGAGGGGCTTGGACTTCCAGAAAGCGTGCATGAGCGTGTTAGATAAGAGTAAATGGAGATGAATGGTTTTTGGGACCTGATGAGCTGTTGGAGTGTGAGCAGGGTAATATTTTGTGAAGGGGTTCAGGGAAACCAGTTAGCTGGACTTGAGTCCTGGAAATGGGAAATACAATGCCTGCACTTTAAAGGAGGGGTTTGGGATATTGGCAGTTTGGAGGGATATCTAAACTGTCATATCTGAGCACCTCTGCAAAGACAGTGATTATGTATGAGTGATTGTGAAAGAGTTGAATGATGACAAAAGTTTTATCTTTCTTTTTGGGTCACCCTGCCTCTGTGGAAAATGGCCGATGTGATGAAAAAAAAATATACATACACGTCTCAGTGTACATATCGCAGATCTCATTCATACAAATCACCACTACCTCAGTGTTAGGTAGATTTGTATTAAATGTTTAATGAAATAGCTTATTTAAGTGTGCTCTTGATATCAAGAGCACTTTGTTTCACTGAGGGAGAACTCTTGGCTCTCCTCACTGATGACTTGCAGTAACTTTAAAGCATTTGTATTCCAAAGAAGTGAAGCTACTTTCCTCTTCCTTAAATCAAACCTGATTACCTCCAGTTCCCCAATTGGTGCATAACTCCTACTGATTTATCTCTTCCATAGGAATATAAAAATAATGATAATACAGTATTATTATTATTTTCCCCAGGGAAAGCCCTAAATTCGTAGAGGTCGTACAGCACATGAGGAATAGGAAGCAGTCAGGCTTATTCCAGGAAGTAAAGAAATTTAACAGTATCAAAGACAATACACTCAGACCACAACATAATAGGGGTAAAGACATGTATGTGCAGGGCTCCTGACCAGCAAAAGGTGACCAGTTATAAAGGTGCCTTCACCAAATTCAACTTCAATAACAAAACATACAGTGGGATCAAGTCAACCATGTCCTAAATAAAACAAGCTGGGAAGATATCTTAAATGACACGGATCCAAACCTTTGCCTAGAAGCAATTAACTCTGTGGCACTTGAGGTATGCTCAAGGCACATTCCTTTAAGAAAAATGAATAGAAGGTGTAAACTAGAAAGAAAGAGACACTCCCTATACAGGTGAAGACGAAGAATCACAGAGCTGCTGAAAGGGGCCAGTATATCTGAAATATGAAGGGAGGCACTGGTCAGAGAAATAGCAAATATTGAACTTAAGCTTAAGGAATCATAGGAGGCAAGAAACTAAGGAAGAACTTAAAGCCATCAAAGAAAATGAAAAAAAAAAAAAATTCTTTTCTTATGCCAAATCTGCTTGGATTAGATAGGACTTACACAGATGACAGCAAAGAAATGAGTAAGATACTCAAG